CGATGGGTCAACGCGCTCTTCGGCGATACAGGACAAGCTGCGCCAGCCTAGTCGCTCGCCAAGGATAGTTTCAACCTCAGGCGAGCAGAGGATCCACACGGGCTTGAACTTGGTTTCGCGGCGTAGCCACTGCAAGAATTGTGTAATTGTGCGTGTGTACTGCTTGGGGTCACAGGCCGGGTTACCGGGAATGATTGCATAGTTGGAGGAGCTAGGCACATAGGCAACGGCTGCACCGGTGGCCATGTCGCGCCAGATCTTGAAGCGATTGTCAAACCAGGAAGTTGACGTGGCATCGCCATAGTTAGCGACCAGATGTTCCAGAGGCTGCAGCTCACTGACATCTGTAGCTACCCGAGCCTTACGCTCACGGTGCCACGGCGGTTCAATGGTCGATGATTCTGGGTGGCGAAGCTGTTCAGAGACAGGCTTTGCTGGCAAACTCTTGGGGTCGCGAGGGAAGAGTGATGTCAACCGGATGTTGCCTAGCTTAAGGATAAGCATCACGATACGTTCCAGGCCAACTCCGGCGCCCGCGTGGGGCGGGGCACCCCAGCGGAAGCCCTCAAGGTACTCCTCCATATCATCGGGGTTAATGCCCACACGACGCATGTTTTCCTCGAGCATGTGGGCATCGTGGATACGTTGACCACCCGAGACAATCTCTTGCCCACGAATAAACATGTCAAATGAGTTGGTGTACTTATCATCTTCAGGGTCGGGCATCGTATAGAAGGGGCGTGCACCGCGAGGGAATTTGTCAAGGACGTAGTAATCAGTGCCGTATTGCTCCTTGACAAGCTCACCCAGGCGGATCTCATCACGGGTACCCAGGTCCTCATCTAGAGGTAGCTGCTCGCCGTCTTCATTCAACCAGCCCGAGTCGTTCAGCATCTTAATACCATCGGTAAAACGAATGATTGGCGTCTGTTCTAGCCATACGACATCTTCAGAGGGAAACTGGTACTTGACGAGCTCAACCTCGCGGCGGTGCTTGGTGTAGATACCCGTGAGGATATTCTTAATCACAGCATCAAGGGTCTCAAGCATCTCATGGTAGTGCTCTTCGATAGCCATCTCAATATCCAATCCAGTATATTCAGTAAGATGACGGTGGGTATTAGAGTTTTCGGCACGGAAAACAGCACCAATCTCGTAGACACGGCCGAAATCAGCAGCGATAGCCATCTGCTTCGCCAATTGAGGGGACTGAGCGAGGAAAGCAGAGCGGCCGAAATAGTTAACCTGGAAGACACTTGCTCCAGACTCGGTAGCGGCGCCTTGCAGCTTCGGGGTATGGATCTCGATAAATTCACGGTCGTCAAGGGCAACACGGAAAAGATTACATGTTGCGGCCTGAAGACGGAAGATGGATTGCGAGGTTGATGTGCGAAGGTCGAGGATTCGGTTGGCCAAACGTGTCCGGTCAGGGATATGGTTGCGGCGGCCCTCGGCCTTTTCTTCTTCGTTGGTCCGAATTTCCGCCTCGTAGACGCTGAAGGGAACAGGTTCCTCGCGGCGAACCTGAAGGTGAACCGAGTCAATGACCAGCTCAACATCATGAATTGAGCAGCCCAACACTGGAACCTCGGGTTTCTGTATAGTGCCGCGGACCGTGACGAAAGACCCCACCCGGAGGTGCTCCACCCACTGGATCATGGCGAGAGACGAGATCCCCTCCCGCTCATGCAAAACACCCTGGAAGGTACCTAGCTGCTGGCGGAATACTAGGAACACTAGCTTGGCACTCATTCGACGGATGACGTGCAGTCGTGCGCTGAAAAACACTTGCTGCCCATCCATGGCAACGGTTATGTCATCAATCCGAGTCCGCAATTCTCGTGTCCGAGTGGCTGACTGCATTAAGGGAAGCTCGCCATACCGAGCTTTCATATCTGGCGTCTCCTCAGCTGCGGATTTGGCAATCTCCTCTTCCTTGTGGTGGCGGTCGGTCTCGGAGAACATCTCCTCGCTGAGACGACTGCGCTCGCTTTGACGGTGCTGACGCACCAACCGCTTTTGTTGGTTTTTGCTCAAGGCACCGGTAGTAGAGGAGTCGTCGGAAACATCGTCGGATGAAGAGACATACTCATTCTTATCACGCAGGAAGTTGCCGAGGATGCTGCGACGAGGGGATGCGGTGGGGGAACCAGATCGAGATTGGGCGGCGGAACGAACTTTGGGTTGCAGAGAAGAGCGAATATTGGAACCGGAGGAGTCATCCTCACCTCCTAAGTGTCCTCTGATGGCCTTGGAGAGGGCACGTTTAATCGACATAGTGTAAGTTCTTTGGGAGGGAAAAGGAGAAAGAAGAGGGAGTGTTTGTATATATAAGGGAGAGGTGGGGGGCGGGCCCGGAATGGGCGATTTTCAATGTTTTAACCTTCCAAGGAAGCCCTGGAGGTAAAGAGATCCCGAGTCCCGAGGTCGACGTAATCAAATCAGGAACTGTGGATAATTATGAAAATTGAATATGATCGAATAGTAGACTAGAAATTAAGAGAATTACCGGAATCAAAATGAATATGGTGTATGTTGTACCTTTGTAAACCAGGACCTGGAGGGCTAGAAGGTATGATGACATCATCTGAAACCCAAGACCTCGGGAAACCCTGATTTTGCTTGGTATGGAGCCCTGTGAGAGAACTGACCATCACTTTGATCTTACGTTGCACTTGATTTGGCTAGGTAGGTATCTAACCTAGATATTAACTCCGAGGATTTGTCTCTCGCTATTGTGATTTCCTTTTCTCTCGCTATCTTCTTCTTCGTTCTTGCCTCAATCTCAAATATTTCACCTGGTCTTACGGTTTTACCTCTTATTACCGTCGGCTTCCGGATCCCTCCGATGCACAAGCCAAATCAATAGGACGAACGTTACTTCACACTGCAGTATCATATCATGGCCTCTTCTCGTTGGTGGCTCCATGTGCAGGCCATCTTTTGGCGGTTCCTGATGCGCATCGGCATGTTCCTACACGAGATCGGCCCTCCCCGCCCACCCCGACCGTTATTCACCCGTACCGTCACTTCCGACTCCCATGGCCATCCCGTCGTCCTCCACTTCTACTGTCCACCAAATTATCATGAGCAGCGAAGGCTAGGCCATCGCTTCCCCGTCGCCGTCAACTTCCACGGTGGTGGTTTTACACTTGGCGCCGCCACGGATGATTCTCGCTGGGCGAAATCAGTGCTGGACAATGTCGGGGCCGTAGTAGTGAGTGTCGCCTACCGACGAGCTCCCGAACACCCGTTTCCTGCGGCAGTAGACGATGGAGTCGAGGCACTACTATATCTGGCAACACATGCCGGCGCACTGGGGTTGGATGTGAGCCGTGTGGCGCTGAGCGGGTTTTCGGCAGGCGGCAACCTGGCTGTCACGGTGCCCTTGCGACTGCGTGGCAGAATATCCACGGAAGTGAAGGAACACCTGGGTCGAGCTGAATCCACACAAAATTTGCTCAATCAGGTCAGCGATCTCAACATCGTTGCTTTGTTCTCTTGGTATCCGATTCTGGACTTTGAGGAATCTCGCGACCACCGTCGTGCTATGAGTCCGATGCCGGACAAGACTCTCCCTGCATTTTTCACCACCCTCTTTGATGAGGCCTATCTTCCTGATTTAGATGAACGTGTCTCTCCCTATGCCTCTCCCGTCCATGCATCTGACCGTATCCTGTCCGAAGCTATTCCCCGCGACGTGTTTTTCTTTATCTGCGAGTGGGATATGTTGATGAAGGAGGGTCAATCTTTCGTTCGCCGCTTAGAAAGCCTCGGTAAACGGCCCCGTGCCATGCTGATCGAGAAAGCCCGACATGGGTGGGATAAGTCACCCAATCCGTGGCGGGACCAAGACAGCGTGGACATCTTATACCGCGATGCCTGTGCGGATATGAAGGCTATCTTCGACCGGTGATCATTTGCTTGACTTTTCATGTTTTATTCTTAGTTTCTTAGCACTGCGGGACTTGACTTTGGCGTTTGAACCACTGGCATTCACGGCGTCGACTGTACATAGTGTTGTTTGATAGGTTTATCCTACTGTCACTTTATACCTTCAACATACAGTGTAGCTGTAGCTGTCTTATCAGATTACATGGGCTATCCACCTCGGCCACAACATACAAACCAAGCGGAGATCGAGGCATACAACATACAACGCCTATATCCGAACAAAAGTATTTATAGGATTGAACAATCCACGAAAAGCTCTACTTGGGACAGACTAGGGCCTTGGAACAGCCCACGGGAAATGGCTGTGTATTTCTATCTTCATTCACAAATTATAGCTACTGCAATATTGAAAAGCATTGTTAATCATGAGCACCTTGCTCATAGCCCCGTATAATGACTCCATGCGCCGGGGACAAGGTTACAGCCCCTTTCCCTAAATATGTAGACATTGAGAAAGCAGGGGAGCCTGGTACGGCAGTCCCTGCTAGTGCGCCACCTCAGATTTTCCCATAGTATTTCTCGACCTGGTTGACCACCGGTTTTTCACTGCTTACGGGTTCGGTGCAATAACTTCAAATTAACAAATTTTTGTGCTTAGACTTAAATTTTCAACTTGTATAGAGAATTGGTGTGATATTAGTGTATTTAGATGTATCAAATACCCATATTATAAAATACTACAAGGCAAAATCTGAGGTGGCGTACTAGTTAAAGATATTCAGGCTTTTTGATCAACGGCATTCCCGTGAGGGGCATCCGGAATAGCATCCACCAATCAACCGTCGTCTACATAGAAGACCAACAATCGTTTCCTTGGAATTCAGTTCCCTGGTAAAAGGAATCTTGGGGGTTTGAGGACGAACGGTGACGAAAGAGTGGAGCTAGCATAATTTTCTGGGTCTGGAATCAAGCTTTGTGACTTGACAGTTCGAAGATCGTTTAAAAATGATCAGGACATCTCAGACTAGAATGATTCTACATTTTTTTCTACTTTTCTTTGCTGTGTTAGTCCTACGCAAGGTGCCTTTTTTCTTATTGTTGTTGTGATGGGATCCTCAAGGGAACCTGACCGGAATGCCGGAGTCAAAGGTATGATTAAGAGTTGAAGACATCGCCGCGAAACAACAATAATGCTAATACAGCGATAGATGCCGTGGAAGCTCCCGAACGCGAGCAACCAGAAGGCACCGAAGAAGAAGGAAGCAAAAATGATGGCTTGGGCAACAACCCATCATATAGTTTGGCGGGCTCTGGCACGCAGAATCCAAACAACAACCGTGGATATACAGATGAAGAGTACCAGCAGTACAATCCTCAGTATAGCAAAGAAGATGATGGCCCAACCTGGAGTTTGGCTCAGCCACTCCCTCACATTGTCCGGCCTGGCATGCGTCATGGCGCCTTACCAGAGGATCGAAAGGAGGATAAAGGCGACATGACAGAGAACGGCCAGGATCTAGCGTACGCGGATGAAATTAGGAAACAGCAGTCGGCGGAAAATCGAACGAAGAAAGTCAACGATCCTAAAGAAGATGGCTTTTTCAATACTTGGTCGAAAATTCGTCACCATCTTCGTGAGCCGCTGGCTGAATGGCTCGGAGTAAGTTTTCGATATGGCCTTCAAAAACAATCAAACAATCGATTTGCTAATATCTTTCGCAGACAACTATGGCAATGACAATCGGTCTTTGTGCCACCTTATCGAACTTCACTTCCTCTGGACAGGCCGGGTCATATCCTGCTCAAAGTGTCGCCTGGGGCTTTGGATTTATGGTCGCTATCTACACCACCGGAGGTATGTCTGGTGGCCATTTAAACCCAGCCATCTCAATCTCGCTGTCTGTATTTCGTGGATTCCCCGCGCGTCGCTGTGTGATCTACATTGCCGCGCAACTTCTCGGTGCTATCACCGCAGGGGGTATATCATACGCGATCTACCATGACGCCATTGTTGAAGTCGCCAAGGTAGCCAAAGTGCCTCAGAATGCAAGCGTCGCCGCTCAGGCTCTCATCACTTTACCGAAATCCTTTGTGCATCCTGCGACTGCGTTCTTCACTGAGTTTCTGGGCAGCGCCATCTTACTTGGTTCTATTCTTGCTCTGGGAGATGATACCAATGCGCCTCCAGGGGCGGGAATGCAGGCATTTATTATTGGGATTATCATTAGTATTGTGATCCTTGCACTTGGGTATAATACAGGAGGGTACGTGTCCGATTCTCTAATTCCCAATGCCAAGTGCGCTTGAAACTAATTGTGGGTTTCCTTATAGATGTTTCAACTGCGCGCGAGACTTCGGCCCCCGACTTGTTGCCGTCATGGCTGGATGGGGTGGCCAGCTCTTTAAAGAATACCATGCATGGTGGATTTGGGGTCCATGGGTTGCAGATATCACCGGTGCATTGTTTGGCGCCTTGGTCTATGACATGGCTATCTTTACTGGTGGTGAGAGTCCAGTCAACTATCCTCCACGGAGACGAAAACGGGCATACCGTGTGAGAGCTTTGAATCTTCGGAAGAAGCTTCGTATTGGGAAAAAGAAGGTCCCCGATCTTGAGCACTCTGTTGCGGATACTGAGCGCTGAACCATGTTTCTCATTGATAGATTATTATCACTTCGCATAGTTACTGGTTGTACAACATAGAATTTAAAAGTGAAATTACTGAGCCAATGAATCTTTAAACGTTTCATGTAAATATCTATCCTAAACGATCCACATTAGTCTCACTGCGGCCTATCGGTTGATTTTTTCTAGAGTAACACTGTTATGGAGAGCTAATGAAGCTTCCACTCGGAGCTAGCAAAGGCTTTGTCAAGCTACTCTGTACGGAGTATAGACTTGGGCATCATGAGCATTCCTCTTTCCAACCTTCGAAATGCTTAGATTCTGAAACGTGGGGAACGATCTCGGGAGCCGGCCGATGCCGAGACTATGATCCATGGAACGGGTTCTAAGGCCAAATTTATTCTTATATAGAAGTATCGAAGTATAGTGTGTTGGCAGTCTACATCCATAAATAGATGTCGAGGAATTGAAGAAAGTAGTCACCGGCAACCACTTAGAAGCAATGCCGAGAATAGAAAAGAAATCTAGAAGTCAGATATGTAACTCGGACCTCCACAAATCAGCCTCAAAACACTAGTCGGAAATAAGAGAATGGATTCAGCTACAGGTGGAGATTACTGTGCCAAGCTTATCCAGCCAATAGAAGCGAGCAATTCCAATTTCCCAAGTGATTTAGTCGCTTAATTGGGACTTTGGGGGTCCTTATAAAATGAGGTCTCACTTTAAAAATAGGGTCCGAAAAAAAAGTCAGGGGGAGGGGAACCAATATCACGATGGACATCTCAGTCTCTCAGCCTTAACCAACCAAGCCCACAGTGTTTGATAGCGTGTGTATGCTGTATTACTTCCTGTCTTAAATCCATTCTTCTTCTACACCGTCCCATCATCACCATGCTCGCTCAGGGGCCAACATTCACCAAATTCTCCACCGCAAGCATACTGCTCCTATCATGTCTTTTCTTCGTCCTCTATTTCCACCCCATGAGACAAGCAACACCAGGAGATCTTTCCGAATATGATGCATCCAGAAAGGGCTTCCAACTGGCCTCGCCGCGGATCCCAGAGAAGATCTGGTACAAAGTTGGACCCAAAGGATTGAGCGACCAGTCACACGAATGGCTGGACGATTGTCTCCACAAAAACCCTGCTCATAGCGCGCAGATCATGACAGACCTCACGGGTGATCAGTATGTGCAAGAGAACTTCGGCTATCGTCCCGATATCGTCGACGCATACCTTTCTCTCCCGGTGCCGATCCTGAAAGCTGATTTCCTGCGCTATCTACTTCTTTTCGCGGAAGGTGGTATCTGGGCTGATCTCGATGTCTCGTGTGGTGATGTACCCATTAGAGAATGGATCCCAGAGACAATGCGCGCTAAAGCTGGTCTTGTTGTTGGGTGGGAGTTTGATGTGGGCTGGGGAGACAGTTTTATTCGGCAGTTTGAGAGTTGGACGATAATGGCGGCGCCCGGTTCGCCGCATCTTTTAATGGTTATCAATGATATTATGGAGGGGATTCGTCAGAAGACGGAGGAATATCATGTTCCGGTTTCCGGGTTGACTTTGGATATGACGGGTGATGTGATTGACTTTACTGGGCCGAGGCGGTTGACTCGTGGGGTTTTGAAGAGTTTGGAATTGACTCGCAATGAGACAATTGATATGGCCAGTATCTCGAACCTCTTGGAGCCTGTTTTGCTTGATGATGTTTTGATCTTGCCCGGGTATTCGTTCGCTGCGTCGTCGAATACTTACAGCAATGTGAATTTGACTGGTCCTTCATTGGTCCAGCATCATTATGCCGGCAGTTGGAAGAATCATAATGGTGGTGAGATGTGACCAGGGATATGAATTCATGTACATTTAACTTGCATAGAGCCATGTGATTTATCTCGAAGGCAGGGGTTATTAGACGTTAGAGGAGTTCACGAAATTTCATGTAATTATTCCATTTTTTTTTTTGAAGAAGCTAGATTCATCAGCACTATGGTAGTACTCGAGACAGGGAATTCCCAGGGATTCCACCGGATAGTTCTGTGCACGCTCAAGAAGAACGATATCATCAGTCATAAGGTATCGGGAACTTTTTGTGAAAAAAAAAAAAACAAGATCAAAAGATCGCAAATATTGGTGGAAATCCCGGACGCCACGCTGAAGTAACAAAAAAATCGAGCCAAACATTAAGTCCTGATTCGAGAAAGAGAGATCGTGTCCAATTCACTCCTCATCAGTCTCGGTGATATCATCGCCGGATTCATCATCGGACTCGTCAGCTCCGCTGTCTGACTCGTTGGCGTCGTCGAGACCTGGAATACCGCGCCACTCGACATAATCGCCTTCCAGCCAGCGACGGCTGCGAGGAAGTTGGTAGGGATCGAAGGGAAAGTATGCATCCAGTTGATAGCCGATGTTATCGCCGGCGCGGATCTCGCGGCCGACGTGGCTGAAGCGAGGGTCTGAGAGATTGGAGATGTTTCTGAAGGCAGTGACGCGAATGCGCTTGTTGGTCTCGAGGAGAGGGTAGATGTATAGGAATTGGAAGTGGTGGGCGATGCGGGCGAACTCGGCGACGATCGCCGGAGAGCAGACCTTGAGCGGGTTCAGTCGCGAATAGATACATTTGTGAAGGAATTCTTTGATGTTGGGAGGGAATATGATCTGGCCCGGCTCCAGCTCGTCCACCTGGTCCGGGGTATCACCATCAGCGGCAGCGGTTGTCAGATCGCGCCATCGGAAACAGAAGATGTACAGCAGGGCCTGTGCGGTGGAGTAGAAAGGTCCGTAGCGACGAAGATCGGGACCGCGGCAGCTGTCCTCATAGTCCATACGTAGGCTGTTGAGGTGTGTGAGGAGGAGATCGAAGACGTCGCGAACCACTTCTCCAGAGATATGGGCACCACGTGCAACAAAGCTGGCTAGGTATGCGGCTGCTGACTGGCGCAGGATGCCGGGCTGCAGCTTGTTGAAGATAAGCTGCACAAATGTGGACGCGAAGCGGTCGACGAGCACGGGCGAGACCTGGGAGAAATGGAACAAGAGGAACTGTGAGTGACGGGATCGGTATGTAGGAAGGATGATCGTTTGGAAGTGGCTGAGGAGCAGATCTAACGCATTCTCCTGGTCATCCAGGGTGCCCGAAGTGAACGGGGGCGAAAAGTATTCAAAGAGAATATCAATCATCCCATCTACTTTGAGAATGTTGTCCTTGATCTTCTTGGCCCCCCTGGTGTCGTCATCTTCCGATTCATCGCTGGCAACCGAGGCATCATCATCTTCCTCATCATCAATCTCGTGCAAGATTTCATCGCCGACATCATCTTCAAAGTCCTCCATATCAACCTGGATTTCGACGTCGACCTTGACAAGCTTTTCGGTGATAAGAGCCAGAATATCGGACTGAAGCTCTGGGGCGTAGGTGATGATTTGGATGAGATTGCGGGTGTAGGCGATGTTCGCGCTAGCTGAGTCTGAGTCGAAGGGAAACTGGGTAGACAGAATCGGGGAGAGAGATCCACTACCGGCCGGGATGAGCCGCAGTACATGGCGCATTGCCATATGGACTCGAGTGTGCATTTCGGATGGTGACACAACGGCGTAACCAGGCAGTCGACCGAGTCCTCGAGGGATGGACCCGAAATTTGTGGCCAACATCTTCAAGACAGGACCGAGGAAGGTACCCTGTGCGGCGGCAAGGTTGCCCAGGAACCGGATGTACAGCTTCACGTAGGATTCGTCCCGTCCGAGCCACTGGCTGTTGATTATGGCATGGACCAACCCGCTGCAGGAGCGGTCTAAGGCGGCGACATGGGAGATCAGACCAAGAAGGTGGTTCCTCAAAGATGTGTGTGTTGGTGATTCATATGCAAGCAGGCTGTCATCGCCTTGCTTTGTTGGGTCGGCAGAAAACATTCCCTTAATTCGGTCGTAGCCCTCGCTTTCTGACATCGAGACATGTCGGTGGATAGCCCCGCGGACCTCCTCCCGAACGACTGCCAGGCTCTTCTCCGACGATATATCATGTATTTTCACATCTTGATCGAACTGCACGCGGGCTCGCTTTTTGGTGGGGGGAATGGCTTCCGTCGTGTCATCTGCCTGGGATGAGGACGGGGAGAGGGGGAGGTCCATTTCGCTCATTTTGCGTTTCGAGCCGGCGACCATGGGAGGAGGTTTCGAGGTTTTGAGTATCGGGACTGGAGAGGAAGTCGGAAGCATTTTGGATCGAGATATCGTAGGTGTGGCCGGTAGCGCCGGTTTGCGTGAAGTCGTGGCAAGGGAGACCATGGCCGAAAGTGAGGAAGAAGGGGTGTCAGGTTCTAGGCAGAAACAAGTGTCGACATTTGCTTCTCTGCACTCTGGCAGAAATCAAATCCAGTTGACTCTCGATTCAATGTCGAAGCTTATCAAGGACTGGTCCAAGCACACGACACTTTTCACGTCGAGATCTTGGGGCTTATGCTACAGATTGGAATGGGAGAAAAGGGCAACAGTCTGTCTGCATCCGTGGGAGTCCAGTTGTTTGAGATAGATAAAATCGGATGCAGACAGAATGGTCGAGTTGCTGGATCCAAAGCAAAGCAAAGCGAAATTTTTCCTTCTTTTCCTTCGGTCACTTGTGGAGCCCAGCGGAGCACCCGTGACCGTGTCGGTGAGCCCTACACTATGCCTAATTGGGTAATATTGACTTATGTCATCATGCTCTCATTGACACATTTTATACATCATCCTCTAACATCTATCTTGCTGTGTTCGACTCTGAAGGCGCTTTTGAACGTGTCTATTGGAATATATTTCAGGTATATTTGAGACTCCAAATGAAACATCAATGAGACTCCATATGAGACTCCCAAAAAGTTCCCTGAAAAGACCCCAGAATCCTCACAAAGACTTTGTAGGCCGCATGAAAGGATCGTATGAAGCGGTTGACCCCAACTGATACATAAATGAATGACAATAAAGAGACCGTCTATTACGGGAAGAAAGGGATGGAATGGCAGGAATGAATTCAAAAATCAAGATTGAGCGCGGGAACAGAAGGTCCTCCCATGGTATCGTGTAAAACAAGGGGCAATAGTCGTAAAAGAAAGAATAAGAGTTGGTCGTCGTGGCGGGCTAAGCAAAGGAATATTCAGTCTTTGCAAGTCCGCAATCTCGTGTCGTTGATCACCCCGGGTCAACCGGGGTAGGAGGCAGCAATTATGTTAGAACCAAGACGTGGTCATAGGTCCATGTGTGTCCTCGAAAATGCTGCCGTACAGTTCTTCAACTTCCACAAGATAATCTTCGACAGAGAACTTCTTGAGCCCCTTGGCATAGAGAATCCGCTCTTCGTCATCGAGCATATTGAGGCCCCCGAATTCCTCCACAACCTCGTTCACCTGCTCTAGCTCTTTTCCGAATGGATGCGGCTCAGACTGGAAGAAATCCTGTGATGCACGAATAGCCGGTGTGCTGCGCGATGCGTTCAGCGGAGGTGGGGACATCCTAGAGACCGAGCGCTTGTGAGCGAGCTCCTGGTGTGACCGCTTGGTGTGGGACAGAGCCCGCTTGGGCACCAGCGGAGCATCTGTAGTTGACGAGGACGTGGATGAGCGAGGGTGGCTTGTCACCGTGACCGTGCGCTTTGGGAAATACGACGTCAATGGGTTTGCGTCAATGGGAGAGCTCTCGTGAGGAGAGACGTCGGGCGAGGACATTGAAGACGCGTAGCTTTGTGGGGAGAAGGCCATGTCGGAGTCGTCGCGCGATCCTAGTGATGAGGCAGATGAAGAACCACTCATTGGGTTGATATCGGGTGCGTTGTAGGCTAGCATGTTGGTTGTGGACAAGAGCTGAACCGGTCCAGAAATATTGCTGCGCTTTATACTTGCCGAGTTGAGTCGCACATGCCCTTCACCACGATACGGCATGGGTGCGGACACTTCTGGGCGTTTATTGCGCCGGGTGAATGCTCTTGTGAGGTTCGACATGGTGGATTCGGAGATTTGGTCAAGTTCAAAATATGACAACGGTGCGTTTCGACGCGGTCGGGAATTGATTTATAACTTTACACATGCAATGCGTAAGATTTTGTTTTTTCTTTTTGGTATCTGGTCGCGCTTTGCGATCGAATCCGTATTTGAATCTCGCGTGGTAAGACGATCGCGGAAAGAATGCAAGATCAACTGGAATGTCCAGTATCAGATCGTTCAGATCGTTGTGTTTAGAATTTCAAATTCTATTGTAATGCACAAAATGAATGTCGAGTCCTCTTTTTGATTTTGCGCAGCAAAATCTAGAGGGGAATAACAGGTCTCTTTTGTCAAGGAATGGTGGCGTAAGAGGTGAATAAAATAAAAGAATAAAAGGAGTCCAGGATCTCAGATCACTTTGTATCTAGGACTTAAAAGAATAGAAAAATAAGGAGAGAATGAAGGAACAAAGACACACACAATCCCAAGGAGGTTGGATGAAGAAAGAGAGAAGGGGGGTGTGTCCCTTACGGGTGGGCGCTACACCAGCGTTTGGACCAAGTTGACCTTTGACCAGTAGCAGGACAACCCAAAGGTTGTGGACGGAGCCCAATAATTCACAGTCGAGAATATTGGCTAGTAATTAGGGCCTGTTCTTCAAGAGTGGTTCATCCAAACTTTTAACATTTGCCTCTTTCCACGGTATATGAATTACGCCCATTATTTATTCTAGAATCTTGAAGGGGTACAGGTACTCCCGTATCAAATTGATTCCAGCCCCATCCTCCAGGGTCATCTTCTAGGGTGCCTGTCCACGGGTCGGATATGTGCCTGGGTATGGAGGGGTCATCGGGCAGGTCAACGTGTACGTGTCCGACGTGTTCCATCTGCGCTGTCATTCCATATCAAACACCCTTGAAGTCTGCAAGTTCACGTGAATAATATATCATCCCTCGTAGAGACTGACCGTACAGCGTGATGCGATAATACCCCCAAGAATAATCTAATTGAAACGGATGCAGGTCCGGGCTCTTAGTCTGAAGGCACGGGCGTTTCACCAACCACTTGTATCCCGTTCCATGCTCAATGTAGTCCGTGCTCCGTGACCTGTTTGACTCAAATTCAGCTAAATGGAGGTCCAATCATAGGGTTCAAATGGAAGGACTCAGGTCAAGGGATCTTGATTGTTAGCGCTTGCCTGCAGCTGATCGAATCCGGAGGGTTGGAAAACTTCCAGATCACCCAGATGGTGTGTGCTGCTCGTTATCTGAGTGGACTGGTGGATTCGGTGGAGTATTGGTGTTTAAAGTCTTCAAACCCTTCATCTCAGACTCCACCGTGAAAATTGTGTGGAGTGGAGTGAACCCCGCTAAGGTCTTACCACGTTATATGCGATGTATTATTGTGCATATATTGTAACATGCTCTACGCTGCTGCGTTTGAACTTGTCGTTATTTTCACTCGATAAAGCCATTCTGGTGTTTTGACTCCTTGGGAGAGGTTCCAGACAACACGCGATGTGGTGACTACAAAATGTAAGCCTCAGGCATCACGGACTTAGCCCGTTACAGATAAGGACCCCAGGCTCCATGAGGAAAGATGTGAGACTTCCATATTATTGTGTGATTATACGGGGTGCGTGTTTGAAACACGTCGATCTAAAAGTAAAGACTCGGGTTATTGTGTGACAGCTCCTCAGCTTTGCTCGACCGCCCCGTCTCCACCTCAGCTCTTGCAGATGCATTTGCATCCACCGAAACACCACCAGCATCTTCGACGCCAGTTATTGCGTCTCGGGAACTACCTGGGGACGGCATGGGTTCGGGTTCCACCGCGACTTGGTGTCCAAAATAAACCGGCGAAGCCATCACCCCGGGGTGGGGCTGATGAGCATCGTATGGACTTCCCGAACTGACCCTATTGTCTCGGGGTTGCCATGCAGATGAGACTAATCCAGAATGAGGCTGATCTCCCAAGTTCTGCGATTTATCGTGAGTAGGAGTCATAGGAATCGCATAGCCACGTCCCGATGTGTCTGAAACCCCGTCACTTGGCTGCTCAATGGTATACCGGTCCGACATGACCGTCAGCCAACGCTCCATGTCGGGCCATTCTCGAAGGGGCAGCTGAGACCACTCTGCCATGCGAGCTGCCTTGTGCTTGAGAGAAATATCCGTCTTTGCTATGGTTTGTACTGCTGTTGATTGTCCCATTGAACGAATGGTCATCAAAGCCCCATAAAGCGCTGACTCGGTCTCTGCCAGCCTCTGTTCCAATTGGTTCAAGTATCCCAACGGTAAGCCTCTGGGCCAATGAGTTAGCTCCCCGCGGGTACCTGCATCTATGTAGGCCTGGGTACTTGCCTTTTACCACTCTCGGGGTAGATGCATTTCGATGCTTCCCCTGCGCATTGAGAACAGAACGGACTTAACGAGATGCAAACGATTAGAATCAGACCAGCTATCGAATTAAACGGTGACAACGTTTTTGATCTTACAGCCTGCGATCACACTATTCTATTGGTCAGCACTTGTCTTGCTGTTCTTTACAAAAGAGTAACATACTTTGCATTTGCGCTGTCTGCATAGCTCACAGGAAATTGGATTCAAGTTCTCTTCTGATAGCATCTCGAGTCAGTCGATCTATGCTTTTTATGTGGAGTATTCTGGTCACACCTGGCATGGTGGCACCAGGTGCCTTTCGCTTCGATCGCAATTGCGCCATTTGTTGATTACAGGTTTATACAATGCAGAACGCGGTGGAACCCCGGAAGATATGCAAGATATCAGGTTACCAAGGTCATCTCCACGGGTGCATGTCCAGGTGATGCTGCTTGGTGAAAGTTTCGGAGTAAGAAACCTCCGGGCATAATTGGCAGGCACGTGATGCTCACCATATTTTGGCCTATCATGTAAATGCAGGAAGGCAATACTAACAAAGATAAAAATATGTATTGATTTTGCTTTTATTTTTATTTTATTGAGTGAAATACATCGCCATATCATTCAAAATCTCTGCGAATTGGTCGCGATGGCGCATGATTGTTGTGGTACAGACACTAGATGTATGAGCAGTTGGTCGGAGATATGGAAAACGACAAGCACTTACAATCCTCCCATTGCGAAGACGACGAGAGAACTATCTTCTTCGCCTACCGCAGCCGTAGCTAACTCAATGGGTATATAGGCAGAGCGAGAATGAGGACGTCAAATATAATGTTAATTATCGAACAAGACATCCACATTCCCTCTTTATTCAGACATTGTGGGTTTTTGATAGTATATCCCGGAATGAAGCGATGGGCTTGCATTGGAAGATAGTGGGGAAGACATATGCCAGGCCCCAAACACTGATCAGCCCCAGCCCATAATAGAAATCTACCGAAAGAGGCGCGAAGGCATAGTCATAGTAATAACAGTCTTGTATATGATCTGGGCGCCAAAGAACCACTTAAGTGCAGCCACTCGATCATTCTGTGTGAGGTCTTTAGAGTGTTTTCCGTAGTTGACCGCTAGTTTTGAGTGAATAACAGTTCCGCGAACTAACATCGATGAGGGCGTAACCTACCAGAGCACTCAGTGACCGTGAGAACAATTGAGCATATCTGCCATGTGTCAATGTCTCGGTTCCAGTCCCCAATGATTCGACAACCACCCACCAGCGATGCTAAAATCATCCAATCATCTGACCATACATGACTCTTATGGAATCGAATAGCCACTCTAGACAGGACGAAGGAACCTGCCAGAATTACCATCACAGCACTAACTACATATTCATAGCGGAAACCCCCGATTGGGCATATCAGGTGTGCTCGATCCAATTTCGTAGAGCATGGCACGCTCAGTTCGCTAGTACAAACCCACGAAAGGGAGAAACAAGCATGATTGTTTATGATAACTCGGGGCTGTGGTGGCGCCCGATGATCATATTGTCCGATTCAAGATGCCCCACGAGGCTCAAGACAAATCTTCGCTTAAATATATCGATGGTCTTGGCCCTCAACTAGGTATAATAAGAAAAACATATGAATTTAGAGTGGGCGATATTGAGGTAGGAGTAATATAATTATGTACAGCATTCATATTCATAGTCTCAGGCCTGGAGCGAATCAAAAACTATATCGTAGCCCAAATTTGGCAGGAGTTGGAGAAACGCTATTATAGAGAGTATTTCTATGTACTATAAGAGGTTTTTACGTAGTGGTTTATGAACATGTACGATGTAGATCGAGTATTTTGCTGGGGCCCTAACCGATCCATTCACAAGAAAACAATGCATTGGATTTGTAAATACGCAAAAAGACGCTATGAGCCAAGGACTTTGTAAAGAACCCATGTTGGTGTACGAATTGTTTTATCTATAATATTCAAACTCCACATGGCTCGCAGGGATATCGAAATAGTATGTGGATAACCCTATGAATCTGACGATATCACTTGACAAGAGATATCTTGGTAAACCAGGATCTAATACACAATATGCATTGTACTTATATTATGTATACCAAATGACAAATAGCGCTTCATCTAGCAGGTCTACAAGAAGATCGTCAGGTCAAACTTCCGCATTGGTTGCCAATCATTCTTACGGCCCCCTGCACCCCTGCACCCCCGCTCACCCAATTTATGTTGTACAACATAAACAACGACCGGCGATCCCATCGCGACTAAATATAAGCGAACGCCAAACGTTCGGTACCCCTGATGACAATATAGATTGTCCCACTGTGACATACGCGAAAGTTATATGTCTCTGAGCTCCCGCAGCCTTGCCCCTTTTCCCTAATTCTCGTTGACCATCTCAAAGATGAAAGCGGGTTGGAAGCCAATTGGATGCACAGTCTTGCTGGCTACGTGCCTCCCTGCAATCTGGGGACAGAAATGTTTAGATCACCCAGAAATGCATATTGGTGCCTCCGTAGAGACCAGCAGTGGGCGGGTTGAGGGGCACGCTGCGCCTCACAGGCCTGCGGTCTCTGAGTACTTGGGCATACCCTATGCTTCGCCACCGATTGGAGATCTTCGATTTGCGGCTCCAGTGCCATATAATTCCAATGGCACCATTCACGCAACTGCCTATGTAAGATCCGCCCCTTCGTTCCGTGGTATCACTAACCGTATCACCAACAGAGCCCGTGCGTCTATTATGTCCTTATTATTATGATCCAGATATCTGACCAGAATTAGTGATTGCCCTGCAAATGCCGGCTCAGTTCCGGATTACCCCGGCTTTACTCCACAGGCTCGCAGGATCGTCAAGTCGTTTACCCAAGCTCTGGGTACTTCCCAGAGCGAAGACTGCCTTTTCTTAAATGTGTGGACCCGTCCCACAGTCTCCAAGTTGAAGCCAGTCCTGCTATGGTTTCACGGTGGTCGTATGTTTAGCTCGGCTCTTTGTTTTCAAATGATTGACATTTTGTGAAGGATTCACAGGAGGCGGCGCCAACAATCCATACTATGATGGACAAGCCTTGGCGGATGAGCATGAGGTGGTGGTGGTGACCATCAAGTCAGTACTCTTCATTCCCTGGAATTTACACATCATTACTAATTAATATCAGCTACCGATTGAATATCCTTGGTTTCTCCGGTGCACCCAATCTTCCCCAAAACGTCGGACTGCTTGATCAACGTATGGCAGTGGAATGGGCCCATCGCAATATCGCCGAATTTGGTGGAGACCCAAAGCGCATCTCAATCTTTGGCCAGTCTGCTGGTGGCTCTGCCGTTGACTATTACTCACAAGCCTGGGCAGACAAGCCCCTTGTCTCCGGTCTCATCTCGCACTCCGGAACGTCGCTCAGCTTTGTGCCCAACACTGCTAAAGAGTCCGCCAGTTACTTTTACACTGCCTCCAAGCTTCTTGGCTGTGGAGACCAGTCCAGTGACCCCGAAGAAGTTGTCAAGTGTGTTCGCCAAAAGCCGTACAGGGACGTCGTCAAGGCGGGCGGCAAGGTCCCGCCAGCACCTTCACCGGCTACTCCACAGGCAGTGTTCCATCCGACAGTGGACGGAGTTACCGTGTTTGACAACTACGCCGAGAGATCTGCTGCAGGCAAATTCGCACGTCTGGTAAGTAAACATCATATAGTTGAGTCCATCTTCAAAAGGGTTGCTAACATGCCGCAGCCATATTTAATCAACAGCAATCATTACGAACCTGGCTACTATCGCATCAGCGCGTTTAACGCAAATATCTCCCTCAGTGATAGCGCATGGCAAAGGTTTAACGATGCGGCTTTTACTTGCCCTAGTGGTGCGTCCGCAAGATATCGAGTTGATAACGGCGTTCCGGTTTGGCAATCCCATTACTTCGGCGACTGGGACAACCTACGTCTGCATCCTAACAGTGGAAGCTACCACGGCGCAGACCTGCCTATGGTATTCGGAACTGGAGAGAAAGTCAGCGGAATTCCAAACAGTGACCGGGAGAATGAATTTGCCCGGTACATGGCCTCCGCCTGGGTTGCATTTGCAAGTGATCCTCACGAGGGCTTGACTAAGTTCGGATGGCCCCGATACAATCCTAATGGTAAGTTTCCCATCGATTTTTCCAAGCTCCATATATCTTACTATTCAACAGAGAAAACACTGGTTGGACTTGCCTACAAGGATGGTTTCAATGCCCAGTTGCTCCGACCCGAAGATGTCGAGCAGGGATGTGCTGCTTTGAAAGGGGATAGCACTCCTGGAAAGGGTGCCTTTTAGAGAACCTTGGGAGCATGAGACTCATAAAAGTAAACTGTAATGCGTATTCATCAAAATATATTTATAGAATAATAAGTCTTGGATACAAAAACTTTCGTCAATTTTATAGATCTAGTGATGGCAGGGCCCCTGCCGCTGACGTAATACCCAACCGTGTTTGGAGCCAGATTTCTTCCAAGGAAACTTGACTTTCAATATCTCAATTTCAAAATATGTGATGCATAAATCACAGCGATAATGGCTTCGGCTTCACCTGCTAGCATGCGATTCGAGGAAAATGAGTCTGAATGGCCATATTCTTCTCGTGCAACCAAGAGACATAAGCGCACGTCTGGCGCGAGTACCTCAGGACCCTCGCCTCGCGAAATTGGATTTATGAGAGAGTCTCAAAACGACGGATCTGCGACCTTCCTTGGGAGTTCAAGTGGAATCCATTTTATCCGTCATGTTTACAATGCCTTCGCACGTCGTTCAGCAGACTTGGACCAAACACGAGCCCGTGACAGAACCTCGGTGCCAGGGGAAGACGACCGGCTACAGCAAAATTCAGGAAGCATTCAAAGCTCGGATGAGCTGTGGGCGAGAGAAGAATTAAATTATGCACCAAATACCTCATTTGCTTTCGACGATCTTGTTAAGTGGACACACAGCTATTTCGAGAATTGGCATCCAATCTTTCCATGCCTCCACGCACCGACAGTCTTGAAAATTATAGAGACAGTCAGTCAAAAAGGGACAGAATCGGTCAACCGACTAGAAATGATGATTCTCCGCTCGATCATGTCTATTTCTCTCGGCGATAATCGACAGAAAACATCGTCTGGGTCGAAGCTCAGTCCCGTTCCTTCGATCTTGGTATTTCGATCCATTCAACATGTGATGCAAGATGTACAAAGCCTCCTTGAAGAGCCAACTAGCTTGCCACTGCTACAAGCAGCATTTACCGCCCAACTTGCACTTACTTCTCTTTTGCGCCTGAATGCCGCCTCGCGGGTAGGGGGTGTCATCACCCGCACTGCATTCCACCTCGGGTTGCATCGTTGCCCAAGACGCTTTTCTTGCTTTACCAATGAAGAAGCCGATGTCCGTTGTCGATTATTCTGGTCGATCTATTCCCTTGAAAGATATCTCTCCCAGGCCCTTGGCATTCCGCTCTCTATTCGGGATGACGACATCGACGTGTGCTACCCCGGTGTCGAGAGACATTCTTCAACAACTGTCAAATCCCCTGACGATCGCAGATTGCGCTTACTGTGCCATCTTGCGAAATTTGCACGGATTCGAGGCTTGATTGTTGAACTTCGTAATAAATCCATTCTCCACAGTCACGCCAGCCAGGTTGAAGCGGCTCATGTTACTGGAGAACTAGCGCAATGGTGGAATGAAGTTTATGACGATGTCAACCCCATTGATGAGCCCACAGAAGCTAGTCTAGAGCAAGAGCCGACCTTGCAGCCATATCACCGGCTACTCCTGATTATCCTGAGACACGAAGCTATCATCTCGCTGAACCGACCTCTTTTAGCGTCTGAAAAGCCCAGTGCGGATTATAAGAACGCCTTGCAGACTTGTATTGGATCCTCTCGATCTATACTTGCTGCATTGAGAAAACACATGTCCTCTGAACCGAAATCTCCGCTCTCCTGGCCATGCTTTACATGGTCAACTTGGATGGCCTGTCTCATTCTGATGTATGCTGCGTCGGAAGAGGAATTCCCCACGCCGACTGCTCTCAAGTATGCGAGAATGGGGATTGCCATTTTGGAAAACTTATCATTGCGAGGTAGCAGCTGGCCAGAGACCTGCATCGAGGCGATCAAAGGGATGGAATCTGCTTTCGAGACACATAAATCTAGTGGGCATCAATACAAAGCTACTGCCACATTTAACGGCGCCGAGAGACCAACTCAACCCCATGGCCAAGCTACACCATCGACGACGGGCAAACGGATATCACGAATGCTGCCGGTTCAGGATGGAAATAATGAGGTTGGCGATACAGGTCTCACACCAATTCGACCACAAACTTTGGCATCGAATGGATGCCAAGGCCGTACAGTCTCTACCTTAATTCATCCGTTTCAGTCATCAACTCGGTCTCCTGCACAAGGCTTTGGCCCCGCAGAAAACTACGACTCTGCCGTTTTCTCACCGTCTGACAATATCGGTAACTTTGCTGAAGCTCTAGACCCTGCCGAAGGCTATCTCAATGGACAGTCTTCAGCTGGGCTCGTTTTTGGCAACATGGCTGACGCAAACCCTGCCTTTAATCCGAGTTTTGCTGGCCAAGACTCTTTGCCATTTTCATCATCTATGCTTATGAACGATTTATGGAGTGTGGCCGATGGCCCATGGATGATTCACAATAACTTCATGTGATCTCTGATACATAATTTATAACAAGCATATGTGTAATAGTCAAGTTCTACACGAACAATATTCCCAACACTTCCAATTCGTTCACTGATACAAATCAATATCAACTACTGTCCTATCCTGATCCAAAACAACTCGCAACTGGCCCTTATTTTCGGCATCGGATACGCTTAAATCGAAAAAGCCCTGTCTCAACTGGCCAAGATACAGCTTATAAGCCGGCATGTACCCTTTCACGAACTGGACAACCTGTTCATCTGTCATACTCTCATTCGTCCGCGCGCGAAGAGCATGCTCCTGCTGCATCCGCCACCGATAAACATTGACAAGGTCATTGGTATCCAAATGAACGAGGAAATTGAAGTGCTGTGGTCCCATGAAAAGATCGCAGTACCCACGCAGCTGCGTGTTCGCATCCAGCAACTGTTCAACGGCATGATCTTTCAGAGTTTCCGTTGGATATTCCAATGTAGTGTGCCTCTGTAATCCTTCCTCCCACCGTTGTCGAACAGCTGTTTCCTCCAGCGGTTGGAATCCAACACACCAGCCTTCAAAAACAACAACGTCAATCGCTGTTCCAGCTGGGACGCGGTACCATGTCTCTTTGGGTGTCCTCCCGCCCTCGCCGTTGAATTTGCTCTTGTCAAATGATGGAATAAGTATCTCCGAGCCAGCGCTTAAGCTTTCGAAGAAAGAGTGCGCAAGGGCCATATCATGTGTTCCCGGCTGGCCTCGTGTTTGGACCAATTTGTTGGATGGATTGGCGTCGCGAAGTTGGACGAGATCGTCGTGGTCAAGGTACAGGTCATCGAGTGACAAATTTATTGTGTTGAACCCGTGGCTTTGTCTTAGCTCTTTCACGAGTGCATCGGTCCATGTTGATTTCCCGCTGCCTTGGAGGCCCGTCAGACCTAGGATAAAGGGTCGTGGGGTCGTTGAGGTTGGCGACTGGCATTGAATATGGCGTTCAATACGGGGTAGAACATGATTCAAGACGTTGCATATTGCTTCTTGGGGAATTGACATTGTGGTCTCGTGCTTTTTGGCAATTTCAATTGCGAATTGGATTGATATTTGTTGTGAGCATTGAAGCTGGAGGAAATACACACTGAGCGGATACCCGTTGACTTTCAATTTTGAACCCCGCAATAATGATTAACAGTTCCCAATATTTACTACCCTAATTTACAAAAATAATGCTTGGGCAGGATCTGGAAGTCGTCTCTCGACCGAGCTGTATGCAAGTCAGGCTGGTTCGCCACGCGGACATGTCTTTCTCCGAGTGGGTCCCTCGGTATAGCACAACCCGGGCTTTTGAATCTCCGTCTGCACCCCGCGACAATTATAGTCGAATGAGCTCGCGATGAGGGGTTATGCGATAGGTTTCTGGGCAGATTGTATGTGGAGACTGAAATTGGAGAATTTGAACCCGATTTCCTTTAAAGGCTTCGTCTTCTGCCGTTTCTCACCTAAATCACCTCGAACAAGAACTTTACCACAACATCATCATGTCTCCTTCAGTCGCTAGCCAAAAGACCTACCGCATCGCATCCATCCCAGCCGATGGAATTGGCCCAGAGGTCATTAATGCTGGTATCACAGCTCTGAATGCCTTGACCGATACCCTCAAGACCTTCAAGCTGGAGTTCAAAAACTATGACTGGAGCTCCGAGACCTACAAGAAGACCGGCAAATACATTCCCGATGGTGGACTTGAGGAGCTTAAGAAGCACGACGCTATTTTCTTCGGCGCCGTCGGCGCTCCTGGTAAGCAGACACAACCAATCTCTTGAAGACCTGATACTAAATACGAGAGAAGATGTCCCCGATCATATCTCCCTGTGGGGTCTGAGACTCGCCATCTGCCAGCCATTCCAGCAGTACGCGAACGTGCGCCCAACACGGGTGTTCCGCGGCACCGAGTCCCCGTTGCGCAAGTGCGGGCCCAACGACCTCGACTGGGTGATCATCCGTGAGAACAGCGAGGGAGAGTATGCGGGTCAGGGTGGCCGCTCCCACGCCGGAAAGCCGTGGGAGGTCGCTACTGAAGTTTCTATCTTCTCCCGTCATGGTGTAGAGAGGATTATGCGGTTCGCCTTTGAGACTGCTCAGAAGCGGCCGCGCAAGCTGTTGACTGTGGTCACTAAGAGTAATGCGCAGCGCAACGGCATGGTTCTCTGGGATGAAGTGGCAAAGCTTGTTGCGGCTGATTTTCCCGATGTTACTGTGGACAAGATGCTTGTTGATGCCATGACTACTCGCATGGTTCTGAAGCCCGAGAGTCTGGATACCATCGTTGCTACCAACTTGGTGAGTTGTCGAAATGAGAAATGATGCATAACTAGGTCTGTGAACTGACGATTAACTAGCACGCTGATATCCTCTCTGATCTCGCTGCCTCTCTGGCTGGATCTATTGGCATTGCACCTACCTCTAACCTCGACCCTACACGGGAGTATCCTAGTATGTTCGAGCCCATCCACGGTTCCGCTTTTGATATCACTGGCATGGGTATCTCCAACCCCGTGGCTACATTCTGGACGGCCGCGGAGATGCTTGCTTGGCTCGGCGAGGAGGAGGCTTCCAAGCAACTGTTGGTTTGTGTCGAGAATGTCTGCGAGCAGGGAGTTCTTACCCGTGACTTGGGTGGTGACGCCACGACAAAGCAGGTCACTGATGCAGTTGTGGCGGAGATCAAGAAGCTTGCGATCAGCAAGTAAGTTGTGTCAGAGCAGTGGATTTTGTATGAGGATGAGAAATGAAATTGTACAAATTGAACAAACAATTAGTGGGCAAACTTTTGAGACCCAAAAACAGCTACATAGTAGAATGATGAAGATGATGGAAAATTCAGAATAAGATGAAAAGTTCAATTCTTATGAAACGTCTTTTCTATATATAATATGTAATAGAATAGTGTGATTTTCCATGTATAACCTTTAAAATATAAAGGGGATAGATGCTACAACCCTTAAAATATATAGCTCGATCAATACTCATGTCTCTCGTGATCGCCCATCTCGACCGCCTTTCAACCTCAACTCAACCACCACTCTCACCTAAGCATAGAAACATTTGAATGGAGCGCCCCTCTAAAAGAGCCAGAATCTTATTAGATTCCAGTGATGGCTCAGCGAGTACACCCCTGACGTCTTTACACAGGGCCATTAGCCCACCATTGCCACGAGGCTGCCCCCGACTGGCTGATGGTAAATTGACTGATGGCCCTGGAGGCACTGCTCGCCCTGCCCAGATCATCAACTCGCCAATACAACTTACCCATATTCAAGATTTACCAGCTGGTAACAATGTCGACACGGTCCGATTACGCGAAATTCTCGGAGATCCCATGATCCGTGAATGCTGGCAGTTCAATTACCTCTTCGATGTGGATTTCCTCATGTCACAGTTTGACGAGGATGTCCGGGGTCTAGTGCAAGTGAAAGTCGTGCATGGGTCATGGCGAAAGGAGGACACGAATCGGATTCGAGTTGAGGTAAGTTTGCACTGACGATGCTTCTTTCAATCGAGTTGACTTCATCTGTTTGACTACATCTCATCACTGATCGAGGGTTTGAAGTGACGTGACGTGAGACTAATATTCTACTAGGAAGCCTGTTCGCGATATCCTAATGTTGAGCCTATTGTGGCCTACATGCCAGAGCCTTTCGGCACACATCATTCCAAGATGATGATTCTTCTTCGACATGATGACCTAGCTCAGTAAGATTCTTCTACACATTACTGATCACTATAGCCCGACGTAGGTCTGACTAAATAACCAAACAGGGTTATCATCCATACAGCAAACATGATCCATATGGATTGGACCAATATGACCCAAGCCGCCTGGCTCTCTCCACTGCTTCCCCTGCAGAAGACAAGCTCGGCAGAACCTCAAACAGACGCAAAGATTGGCTCGGGCGCGCGTTTCAAAAGGGATATGCTCGCTTATCTGAAAGCGTACGGACCTAAAAAGACCGGCCCATTGGTTGAGCAACTGGGTGGCTATGACTTCGGCTCTATCCACGCTGCCCTCATTGCCAGTGTGCCGTCCAAAAAACATGCCAGTGACTCCAGCTCAGAAGAGGATACACTATGGGGGTGGCCTGCCCTGAAAGACTTGATGAGCCAAGTACCCATCCAGCAGAAAAACCCAACCAAGAAACCACACATAGTAATCCAGGTATGTATCTCCAAACAACCCATCGCGCTGTAACAAACCTCCAACAAACCAAAGATCTCTTCAGTAGCAACCCTCGGCCAAACAAACAAATGGCTCAAAGACGTCTTCTTCAAAGCCCTCACCCCAACAAAAACACCACAACCAACAACCTACTCAATAATCTTCCCAACCCTAGACGAGATCCGCCGCTCCTTAAACGGATACAACTCCGGTGGCTCAATCCACATGAAAACCCAAAGCGCAGCACAACAAAGGCAACTCCAATACATGCGTCCGCATCTCTGCCAATGGGCAGGCGACGCCATCCCCCCAGGCCAATGCATCGATCTATCCGAAGACAATCCTCCAAAGCGCGAAGCAGGCCGCGCTCGCGCAGCACCACACATCAAGACTTACATCCGCTTTGCGGACTCAGATATGAAGACTATCGACTGGGCGATGGTGTCGTCGGCGAATCTGTCTACGCAGGCGTGGGGCGCGGCGACGAATGCGACTGGCGAGGTGCGCATTTGTAGCTGGGAGATAGGTGTTGTTGTTTGGCCGGATCTTTTCCGAGACGGGGGTTGTGACGATGCTGCATATGAATCTGCTTCTAAGTCCCTAGCGGAAGGGGAATCCCCTGTGCCGGACGCGTTAATGGTTCCTTGCTTTAGGCAGAATCGTCCTCCTGTGACTGAGGGGCCCGAGACAGCTGCTGTGGTCGTCGGGTTCCGGATGCCTTATGATCTTCCGTTGACGCCGTACGGTGCGGGTGATGAGCCGTGGTGTGCAACTGCTGAGCACGCTCTGCCGGACTGGCGGGGAGAGAGCTGGATTGTTTGAGTCTGCTGTCTTTGCATTTAGTCTTCTTGGCTATATTTGGTGGTTTTCGTCTCAGCAGTTCACGGGTGTAAGTTGCATGTTTATCTCAGTATATAGTATACGGGATTGTGAGGTACGCGGGTATTGGGTCATGGAAAGTAGCATGCATTTGTATTCGTTGTGCTCGCCCAGAGAGTTTCGAGAAAATACGATTATCTATTCTCTTTTAGATAACTGTCTTTCCAAAATCTCACCCGACAATATATCCTTCGATAGATCGCGAGTCATTCTCCAAGACCAGTTCTCCCTATTGTATGATCTATTCGTCGCGGGTGCCGTACTTGGTAATGAGGGTGTTGACGTGGCTGATGTAGAGCTGGTGAGCCTTGGCGGGGCTGTAGTCCTGGACCTTCTGCCAAGCACCGTAAAGCTGCTTCTTCTATAAGATTGGAAAGAATGAATTGTCAGCTACCGGTCTTCTTCCAAAAGAACGGGCTGGAGCTTTCCCGAGCTCGTAATCAATTTCAAGTTGTACATACCTGGAGATCGAACACGCCAGGCTTCTCCATAACGTCACCCTTGCCAACCTTGAAGTAGATGTAGAGGTCCTTCTTCTCCAAAAGACCGGGGGAGGTCTTCAGCATCATAACAGCCTTGGCGGCGAACTCGAAGGCCTTGCGGAGGGTCTCGGCCTCGGCGGCATCATCGAGCTTCTCGAACTCGCCCTGCTCGGCGACCTTGTCGTAGATTTCTTTGAGAGCTGCAATGTCGATGCCGGCGGCGGCTTCTTGGACCTCGGGGGTGAACTTTTCTTTCTTCTGGGCGGCCTCCAGGACGGTAAGGAAGGGGGCAATTTCGGACATTTTGAATTTGTGGAGGTTTTGTGTTTGAGTATGATGAGAGGTAAAAGTCAAGAGCAGAGGATTTATATGGTTGGGATGTTGGAGATGGTTGAGGGCGGGGTCAACGGGTACCTAGGTAGGTGGGGTCGCTGACACACTCGCCAGTTGGTTTTAAGGTCAGGTACTTTTTACATGTAAATATGTACTCTAACTAGTTAGTTATAGGTAGTATCTTATTTGCTATGAAATTGGCACAAAAGCTTTAGAGTAAACCCAAATTGTCTTACATATTCAACAATTAATCCAAAATCTTCATATTATTTCAAGAACCACGCCAACAGATGCATGTCCACATGCAACCGCTGTGGAAAACACTCGCTATGCACCAGAAAAAGAGAAAAAAAGATAACCTTAGATCCAAATTCCCGTGGCAATGTACAAACTCAAAGAGAGCGATCACCAGTCCACCGCCCATCCATTGTTCGTGAGGAATTCCTCACAGGCAGCCTTGAGAGCATAATTGTTCCGCAAATCATGGACACTGATAGGAGCCCGAGTCATAGGATCGACGCCCGACTTCTCAACATACTTGGTGATGCCCAAGCGATCGAAACTGACCCCCGACGGTGTCATAACAGGATCATGCATGATCTCAAATGTGATACCATCAATGAGATAGTCAGGAACAACCTAAAAGCAAATCCAAACGTCAACAAACAACCAACCCGTCCAAAACCAAGTTCAAAACATACCCTCTCCTGAACCTCTCCATTAGAAGCAACTCGAAATGCCTCCCTCAAATTCCTAACCTTAGTCTCCGCATCCTCCCGCAACGCCTTCTGATCCTCCCCAAACCCAATCTCCCCAATCTCCCCACGCTCCAAACGACCCTGCAACTCCGCCAGCGCACGCGTCACATCAGCCTCAACGAGCGCCTCCACAGAACCCAGAGTCTCATTCATCTCGCGCACCCGAGACGTCTCCCGCGCAGCCCAGATCTGCTGCTTCGCGCGCAGGACTGTCTGCGACAGGTTCTCCGTCTGGGCATTCTTCACTGCTAGACTCAGTTGGTACGCGTCGAACGCGACGTCGTGTGCTTCCTGTGGGCGCTGTAGGCCTAGGAGTGCCTGGGCGAGATAGTAGTGGCTCTTTAAGGCGACGGGGTTTTTTAGGCCGTAGATTTCGATTGCGGCGCGGGCATCATGTTCGACGTCGGCCCATTTGGCGAGTTTGCTTCGTGTTATCGCGCGGTTTGTGAAGAAGGTTGCGTCTTTGGGGTTCTTTTGGATTCTATGCAATGGGGGGAGTTTGTTAGTTTGGGGATATTTGAATGATTGTTGGGTTTGCGACTTTGGGTTGGGGGGTGAGGGGGCGGAAGCGTCGGAGGGGTCGGATATGATAGCTTACGCTTGGGAGTAGAAGTCTTCAGCACCACTGTAGTCGCCGGATTTGAAGAGCTCATTGCCCTTTGCTTTGAGTTCTTGCGCCATGGTCTATGTGTGAGTGATGCGTTGGGTTTCTCCCCGTGTCGCTGATCTGTTCCCCAATGTGGGGCGGTCCACCATATAGAGTCAGGAGTGATAGGAGTGGATATTGCTTTAGTTCGTAAAAGCTGATGGGGGATTTAAGGGCTTTTGATCTGCAATCTCGCTGTCTTTAAGTATGCAAGTACCTTTGTGGATATCTTTGTGAGTCCATCCAAAACGCATAAAACAATTGCATATGGAAACTCATAGATCCCCGCAGAAGGTCTGAGTCAGCTCAATTGCTGCACTGCGCTGCCCTGGAGGATATAGCTACTCTTCTATAGATTAATCTGCGTGAAGTTGAGTGAAGTTGACTGTAGTTATTTCATTCACTATATACATATCTATGCGACCTTCTAATCCAATCTGGAGGCTGAAGTAACATTTGGTTCGTGGTATCATGCGCTGTGAGAACTAAGAAAGACATAACAAATCGTGCAGACAAGTCGATGAAACCTGACAAGTCATGCTCTGTCGGAAGGTTGGCAAGGTTGGGCGACAATACCAGGAGAATTCTGAATACATTCCAAGTGTTTTTGGGTGTCAGGTGAGACGAGACAAAAGAACAAAGACAAGTGTCTAAGCAGCGGTGCGGAACTGGATCTCATAGTCTGTGATAGCCTGGACCTTGGCAGCAGAGGCCGACTTGGGGTCGAAGCGGTAGTTGAGCCAGTCTGTAGCGAGCTTCTTTGCCAATTCGACACCGATGACACGCTGACCCATGCACAGGACTTGAGCATCGTTGCTCAGGATGGAGCGCTCAACAGAGAAGGGATCGTGAGCAGTCACAGCCCGGATGCCGGGCACCTTGTTCGCAGCGATGGCAACACCCAGACCAGTGCCGCAAATGAAGAGGCCACGATCAGCCTTGCCATCCTTGATGAGCTTGGCACCCTCGACGGCAGGGTGAGGATAGGCGGTCTTATCAGAGGATGAGTTGACACCGACATCAATGATCTCGGCGACAAGAGGGTTCTTCTCGAGAGTGGCCTTGATGGCATCCTTGTATGGGACACCGGCCTCGTCGCAGGCCATGACAATGCGGAAAGGAGTAGTAGACATGATGAAGGTATGGAGTATGGACAAGAGGATGAAGGGTGTACAAATAATAAGAGTACGAATTGAATCGAGTAGATAATAGAGATAGCGAAAACTGGTTTGATACAGAAAAGAAATCCTGCTTTGGGAGTACACAAAGGGGGTCTTTATATCTTTTTGCTCAGCTTCTTCCCCTCTCTCAATTTTAGTCGTGCAACCAAAGCCAGGTCCAGCCAATCCTTGCATTTGATGGAATCATATACAGCCGTTCTCCACCGAGAGACTCGAATGGCCTGGTTCCGACCTTGATATTGTTACGCGTATTTCCAGCGTCCGGGGTGGCCCACCGCAGCATCATAGCACCCAACGACGGGCTGTGAGTGGTCAGAGCCAGAAGGAGGTTAAACCGAGGTCGGATACTTTAGGAGCCTTGTTTTGGGCCATACATGCATCTTACCTCGTATTACACGGGATGTTTTATTAAACCTCGCTGGCGCTGGATTGGACTATGGCCCCAGGCTTCATATTCTGCCATCCTCAAGCCATCGATGTCAGTGGTGAACACAACCTACAAGATCAGACGGACAAGACGGCTGTGGCTTTTTGCACGGACATGGCGGTTCAATTTCCCTCTTAAATCCTGGTGCCTCATGGCCAAGGTTTGGGGGGTCTTGGTTTCATCTTTTTTTCCCGACGCCAGGGTTGGTTTCGGTGGCTAAGGCCTGGGCACCCCGTATATCTACTGTTGTACAAATACACGGCTATGACCCCAGCCGCATGTCACCCAGACGGGAAGAGGGGAATTATAATTGTCGAAATTAACCTCAAAACAGGGAACTAAGTTCAATGCCATGCTTGAAACCTGGCTGAACAAAACCTTGGGAAGAGAATACAGGATATTGACATCCACACGTGAATTGCCGCATAACTTGATTTCCCAAAGGTCGAATGCACAAGTACACAAATACGGCTTATTGTCCCCCCCAGACGCTAAACCCCATACTTGATGTGCATTGCCTCATTGCAAGATTGCGTGCTCCACTTTCCCACTCCACCATCTCCAATGTTGTTGGTCACTGTCAACGTAGCCCACCGGTTCTCCGGATTGTACTATTGTATTATGTACTCCAGATTTTCGCTTGGATCTACACTGTAGGATACTATATATTGTACATCGTGCTTTAATCGTACCATAGTAGACATGTAGGATATGGCAGACGCTTTAGAATGTACAAGGAATACACGAAGTCCAAAGCACAATACCAGGATCATCGAAATACTATGTCCGTGGTACTTGATACTACATTGGCTGTGCTTGGCCTATCATAGTCTTGTCAACATTCATTGGTCTCCGGCATTGGGTACTCCGAATGGTCTCTTACGTTGTATACCCCTGTCTCTGGCCTGATGTGACATCACGTACATGGTACAGATGTAGTATATTATACATGTACTCTGATGAATGCCCCTCTCATACTTTGCAACACGCATTTTACACTAAACCTGTTGGGACAATCAGAACGTCTAGCGCAGAAATGCCGCTAATGCAGCGCATTGACACACTGGAAATTACCTTCCAAGATTGTCAAAAACTTGGAATTACTTGGAATTGCAATTACAACATAGAGTGCTCGCTACCACTTTCCAAAGCAACTTTTCCGAGGCTCCAAGAATTCCCCTTAGACGGGAACGCTAAGCACATCCCCCGCCATAACAACAATCAAACACACAACTTGCGCAACACCCATCACTATCACCACCATGGCGTCCACCTACCCAATTCTCCCAGAGAAGCTCCTCCTCATCTCCCTAAAGATGTACTTCACCCCAGACCGCACACTCACCTATCTCCGCGAACTCCTCAACCCAACCAACGAGATCGTCCACCCAGCAAACCGAGACAAACTGCTCCTAGCTCTAATCCCAGACTTCCTAACCATCTGGCCCTGCGCCCAAATCCTCAAAGAGTACGAAACCAACCTCACCAGCACCGGAACTACCCAATCCCAACCCGCCTTCCTCCTCGGCGCACAAGACTGCTTCTGGGAATCTCAAGGCGCATACACAGGCGAAGTCTCCCCCGCGTCAATCCGCGCACTGGGCTGCTCCATCGTGGAACTAGGCCACGCCGAGCGCCGATCCATCTTCAATGAATCAGACGACCAAACCGCCCGCAAAGCAGCTGCAACCTGCGCGCAGCATATGGTCCCGCTCGTCTGCATCGGCGAAGTCACAGCCCCCGGCCCCATCGCCTCCCAAGCTGTCGGCCAGGCTGTGACTGAGTGTGCGGTGCTGGTGCGCGCAGTCCTGGCTGCTATCCCGGACGATGCGCCCGTTATCTTTGCCTACGAGCCTGTTTGGGCTATTGGCCAACCGAAGCCGGCTGGTGTTGATCACGTTGCGGCGGTTGTGCAGGGCATCCGTGCGGTTATTGGTGCCCGGCCTGGTACGGCACGTGTGTTGTATGGGGGCAGTGCGGGGCCTGGTCTTTGGGGAATTGGTGGGCTTGGTCGCGCGGTTGATGGGATGTTTTTGGGCAGGTTCGCGCATGAAATTAACGGCGTGCGGGAGGTTGTTCGTGAGGTGGAGGAGACGCTGGCTTTGGCGTGATGGTGCTGTATTGGTTGTGTTCGCTGATGCTGGCTTCGTATGCCACATGCACTACACTACGCATCCCAGGTACTGTCCTTGCTTCGACACCTTGACACCTCACATGTGTCTACCATTATACAGGTATACGGTATTGTGTTTCGCACTATACGGTTCCTTGTCATTGTTATACGGAATAATACATAACATGGCTTAAACAGAAAGAAAAACAGCAAAAAAACAGACTCATCTAGACAAAACTCCAGCTCATGGGATCAAAAAACAGAAAAAGTGGGCATCCCAAGCTCCCGACTCTCTCGGGAAGCCTGTCTGGGGGAACCCGGCGAACCCACAAGAAACTGGAGAACTTCCCCGGTTTTCTTCTTCTCTGGGCCTGTCACGCGGCCGATCAGAGATTTACCTCTCAGATGACTTTTAAAGCTTTTTTTAGCTTCGGCAACTTCAATAGGCCTTTCGATGTGAAGCTATCTCCCCTGGTCCACTTCCATGCTTAAGGTGGGTTCGTTGTGGACTCTGGAGTTCCATTTTGCACTGATCGAGTAATCCGAGCTATTGATATACCTCTCTCACAGTGTCAATTTTTACCGACAATTATCAATTCCCCCTTTGTCACTTCTTTTCGGTACTGCCTGACTCGGTCGCTCCATTACATATAATCCCTGTCGGGTGTCGAGTCTCTCGGGCGAGAAACCATGCAGAAAAATGACGAATACAGAATATTACTTTTCTTATTCGTATCCATGTTATTTACAGGATCTATCAAAGACCGAATGAGAATAAACCGAAAAAAAGCCACAATTCACACCGCTTATTTCTTCTGCAGCTCCTTGCGCAGCTCCTGCTTGACACGCGTGACAGTGCCAACACCACCGTAGACAACACCAGTGTACATCATAGCCACTGAAGCGCCGGCCTTGAGAGCCTCGCGCGCCTCCTTACCGGTAGTGATACCGCCGGAAGCGAAGATGACTTTCCGGGGAAGGTCAGACGCTTTCTCAACAGACTTCTCCGAGTCGGTCGCAGACGGGGGTCCCTGATCAAGCAGGGCGCGGTAGCGGGCGACGAGCGCAACGGAGCGGTCAAACAGCTGGGGGCCGGAGTAACCACCGGTTTCCTTGAGGGTCTTTTGTTCCTCAGCGGGGAGGACGAAGCCCTGGGGCACGGGGTCGGGTCGTCGGTTGGTGGTATTACCGACGATGACGCCGTCAACGCCGGAGTTCCAGACAGCCTCGCAGATGCCAGAGATCTGCTCGTTGGAGTCCTCATCTGGGCTGACCTTGACCATCACGTAGGGCTTAGTCTTGCGCTGGACGTTCTTGGCGGAGGCGACGACAGCCGTCAGGATTGCTGTGAGGGGTGCGGCGGCTTGGAGGTCGCGCAGGCCCGGGGTGTTGGGGCTAGAGACGTTCACGACGAGGATGTCGGCGTATGGCGCCACTCGGTCCACGCAGTAGACGTAGTCGCGCTTGATGGCTTCGATGTCTCCGTCGGGAGTGAGCTTGTTCTTGGCAACTTGCACGGCGAGAAGCTTGCCCGGGATCAGACTTCCGGGCGGGACGTTGGCTTCGCCGTCCAAGACGCGCTGCTCGGATTGTTCGTGCAGGCCGAAGCCGGCAGCGTAGGCGAAGTCAGCTACGCGCTGCTTCAGCACCTTTGCCATATGGTCGGCGCCCTTGGAGTTGAGGCCGTAGCGGTTGATCATGGCGTGTTGCGAGGGCAGTCGGAACACTCGAGGCTTCGGGTTTCCTTCCTGTGGCAGAGGGGTGGTGCCGCCGACCTCCACGATGGCGGGACCGATGTCGAACAGCGCATCAGGGACCTCGGCGTGCTTGTCCAGACCGGCGGAGATACCGATGGGGTTGGAGATAGTGTACCCAAAGACCTGGTAGCAAATCTCGTCAGTGATTGACCATCGGCCGATTTGGGAATGCCATTACCTCAGTTGCCAGGGCACCATCACGATCCGGCTCGCCACGCTCGCGCGGGTGAAGGCCATATTTGTAGAGCATCTTCAAGTTCTCCACGCCGCTGTGGTGCGCATCCTCCGCATCTGGCCACAGGAGACGGATCAAGGGCACAATGCCGTATCTGTGGATACTGGCTCTGGTGTCGGTTCCATAGATATAGCCAACCAGCAGGGTCAAGGCCAACGAGGCACCGTACAAGGCCTTCTTAGAGCCACGGCCCGCCTTGCGAGGGATTTCCTTGGCAGCCTCCTTTGTAGCATCCTTCACTGTCTCCTTAGCTGTCTCGGCGGGCGCAGATGCAGCCGAGTCCGATGCATATCGCGAAGCACCGGGGTAGCGCTGGGCGCGCTTCGGTAGCAATACCGACGGCCGTTGGGTCAAGCGGGAGGTAGGAAGGGCGCGAGCCCGGACACTGGCTCTCCAGGCCATTGTTGCGGAGTTGCAAGCCATTTCGATCGTATGTGGAGCTAATTATCCCGGCGGAGCAACGCCCGATCGAACCTATACAGCGGTCAATACTTGTGAATTGTGACTGGGGCCGTTGAGCTAGTCAAGCTCCAATCGACTCGCATTGTAAACCATCCAACTGGAACAGTACATACTGGTCAATATGTACCTAACAAATCACTTACAATTGCAATTGAGTACGATCCGAGGTTCTCGCACGTCCCTTGCAGTTCTCGAGGGCGGATTCGGGTTCTTTTGCTGCACAATCCGGGCGGTGGCAATAGGTGATGCAGAATTTCTAGGGCGGTAGCCTTACATAGCCTGGGCTGGATGTTCACTTTTGTACTCATCTTCTTTGTCTTCAGTTACGACTTTAGTGGCTGTTGGAGATTGCAAGGTGTTTCGGAATATACTTTATCTCTGTATCTCGAAGAATATCTAGGTTTTATATCCAAAATGAATGAAATATATTGACTGAAGATCTTCTCTTCAATGATCACGAGCTCGTATCGGGCAACGCTGTAGGCTCGGCTATGACCAACTTGACTTCTGCCTTCCACATATTGCAAATCCTTCAGCTTGTCCCTGTATCTGAACAGAAACTATTTGTTGGTATCCACGGCGCTGAACAATCAATATCGCACGCCACAAATCCCACCCAGGATGAGCACGCAAGGAAGAACAAACAACTCTTCAGCGGTGAAATCTGACCATGTCTATTTCGACGAGGGGCACGATTCCCCTACTCGCGAACATGCACCCTCGCAGCGAGAGTTTATGAATGCTATCCCAGAAGCGGCGCCTCAGCTAAATAGTGCAAAGGAACCCTACCGTTCATTCAACGTCTTCAAAGATGTATGTTAGCAGCCTGCATTGCTGTATCCCCATAAACCCTCATAAATTTAAATAATGCTTATCAATTCACGCAGGTAGCACTTGGTACAAATGCCTGGAGCTTTTGCCTTCAAGTTCACCCGTCTGGGGGACTTGCTCAATCTCCAAGCCCAGTATATCACACCTTGTGCATCCCGTGGTATCGCCAAGGCCTTTATTTGCCAGCCTCCTTTAGTCTTTACTCTGGTGGTAATGTTGTGCGCAGCCGGAAAGATCCATCTCCGGAGCCTCAAGACCACCGCGCAAACATTCACTACCGTGGCTTTGAAGGTCTGCTAGGTCTCCATGTGACGGTAGACATCTTCCGCCAAGTAGGTTCTAATGTCCTTCAAAATGAGCTTCTAGCCTCTGTGGAGAGTTCTCCGGACCTTGTCAAGCACTGCTCAGTGGACATTGTTCGGAAGGGAATGGGTAGGACTTACCGTGTTGGGATTACTAGTGGCGGGGCTGTCAAAACATTCTACTGGAAAGGGTCCAAGGCTGCATTGTCTCTCCTTGAAACGGAAGGGAAAGGCGCTGGTCCTAGTGATGGGAACGGCAACCTAAAGTTCTTTGCTGCGGATAAACCAGATGATATTCTTGCGGTGTGGCAGAATAGAACCGATCGACAACTTCTAGGTTCTTTGAACGTTATCGCCGAGCTTGATGCTGATTTGGATGGGATCCTTGAAGGGTTGGTGGTGAGTTGCCTGGCAGTGGTTGTTGCAGAAAGAGTTTCCGGGCGAGGGTGGGTAGGTGGCCTGGGGAAGTCAAGGAATTCTTAGGAATTGAGTCGGATCTGACCACACATGGGAGGTATAAGTAGAGCAAGTGTGAGTGGCTACCTGTTATTTATCAAATTGGCTGTATCTCCACGTAGTGAAAGACCTGGGATGGCGGCCTAAATAAAATACTCGGCCACCTTGCAACTAGCAAACAACGAACCTGCCTATGTATGCTCAATTATTATGTGTATATGTGATGTTCATTCCGTCATAACTCTTTCTTGCTGCTCATGCTCTTGTGTTCTTCATTCTGTCAAGGCATTTTTGATATATTAGACATTGATTTTCTCCGAGCTCGCACTACGGTATAACCGCATAAGTGAGACCACTATCGACCAGATCAAACCATAGCCCGCAATAGCCCGATTCCTTCATCGTTCTAACATGTCTGACGAATTCGTGCAGTTTTAGCATACATACGCTCTGTATGGGAAACCTGCGTAGACTTTCCATGAGATCCTCGCCGGGGCCTTCAACTTCGAGCATGGATAGGAAAAGTGGAAATGAAATCGGAAAGGCCGCTCCAGCGCCTTGTGTATCTGATAGAGCAAACAACGACCTGATTTCGTCAAAGATGCGATGCGCATAGCAGTGCCCTAGGGCGTCTTGAACACCGAGAGGGAATCGTAGGCGATGAATGATGAGCAAGGCGGCTAGACGGTATACACGGGCTTGGGTCATCATCATTTCTCTCTCGGCCTTGTCGTAGGTAGTAAGAAAGTCAGGTGGAATTCGTTGCACCCAGGCCTCAATGACACTCTCTGAGTGCGTGTAGTAATCCGCTTGGGGTTCTTGATCTGCTAAACGCAATTGCAAATTGTCTGCATTTGATTTGGCTGCTTGGCTCTGCTCACATAAAATGGCTAGAGAGGGTAGCAGAGTTGATAACAGGCCGAGGTACCGATCCACAATAATCCGCTCCGGAGCATGGAGCTGAATGATGGGCACTCTGCGGTATACCAGGCATCCAACTATGTCTAGAAGCACTGGACATAAGGTGATGGTGTCGAAGGCAGGCACCCCGCTCAGAGCCTGATACCATGGCTGGGCCGAGATTAGGGCGCTCTGGACAATAGAATGCGCTGAGGTGGTAAATGAGTCGGTGAGGACCTCAAAGACAAAAAGGGCCTGGCCGAGTAACAGGGCGCAGAGGGCATCCTGGGGACGGACAATTTTGACACTTCGTAGCATCTGGAGCGCTCTCGCCCCTCCACGGAGATCGGGATTGGCCAGGGGCAGTCGAGATGCCTGACAATGTGCTACCAGCCCTAGGAAAGCAAGATAACCGTCGACCATGACGGCAGTAGAATGATACATGACCGAGTATATGGCTACTCGGAACTCTGGCATGAAGCTACGTCCCATGACGAAGGGAACATGTATCATGGTGAATTTGTCGTCGTCAGTTAATACGTCCATGGCGTCAGAAGCCGCTCTCGGATTGAAGCGGCGTTGGAGTATCTGCTCGATAAAGATCTCTTTCATGGCCATGCCTTCGATCCTACCACGCTGTTTTCCATGTGACAGCGTATGAGCGGTTTCGATGTTATTTCGGCCACGGTAGATATCAATGGCACCAGGCTTCAGCTTGATCATGTCTGGCTCTGCGTCATCATCAACCTTGGTGGACTCCCAAACATGCAAGCTGCCGTGATCAAACGGCCTCAGCACTGGACATCGACCCTTGCGCCGCTTCTTGCGAGACATGGAGCAGAGGATGCCCAAATGGCGGCATCGGGCACACGCCCTGGCCGTTGGTGCGAAAGAGCACTTTTCTTTGCCCTGGTGGCAATGATCGCAGGCTTTGGGTGTCATGCTGGAGAGGATGGCATTGTATTTGTATAATTTTATCTTTCGTCTTGGGCGGCTGTATGGCAATGGACACGGACAGGCGGCTCTCCCGCCGTATGGGGAATCATAAAAATGATCGGTACGGGGTCTCGCAGGGATCAAGAAGTCATGGACTTTGATTCATCAGCCCATTGTAAGGTTCCCCAATTGTCAATATGACATGAATGGAAGACCCCGCATCAAGGGCCTCGGGGAGTACCCCGCAATGTGTGAATAACCTTTTAACTTGACCATACCTATAGGTAGTTGGATGTGATGTAACCTTAACCGGGGGCAGGTCTAACCGAGAATAGAAAAAAAGGGTCCGGCTTCCCCAATAATAAGAATAAATAAGATGCAGGCGTCGATTGCGATGGGAATATTTTGGCTACTCTATCCATACCCCATGACTTGTACAAGTTTCAGTCCAAATTCCCCCCGCCCTGATGGCTGCCAAGTTGTCAATACGTCTTCAGGGCCTCGCACACAGGCTTCAATCATTCGGGGCGATATCTCAGGTGGTAAGGCCAGCCAATAATCCGGGACATAGAAGATAGCATAGCAACAGAACTTGCAGAAAGACCTCGGGAGGATCAGACTAAAGATACAGTGGTTATTTACTAGATAATCCAGAAAAGTGCATGAGGTGCAACTGCACTTAATATCATATTAGGTTTGGGGGTCATATGCTGTCCCATCTGGGTTCCATCAAAAGTCTCTACCGTCTATTCGATCTCAATTCTTGAATGAAAGTCTTCCATGACCAATAAAATATCAACCTCAATGGTATCGCTTTTCTTCGGCATCATTGTGATAGTAAAAGGTAGGTAGAAGGTAAGAAAGATATAATTTGTTGAAAATTTATGCTGAGCTGGGGCATACCAAACCGCGCCAGTGGTTTGGTGGCCCCGGCACTGCTACATACTAAAACTCATCCCTAGATAGTGGTAATTTATCTTTGACACATTTCTTTTTTTTTTTTTCTCTTTTCCATGGATTTATGACCAATTTAAGTTGATGCTTTCCTTCGGTTCATACATGCAGCCTGTGTATGATCTGTTCTATCCAGGCGTCAGAGACACCTTGGTCCCGTTCTCGCTGGCCAGAGTGAGCGTGAGTCCCTCCTTGAATGGCCGGTCGTCACGACTCTCAATGCTCTTGAAACATTGAGCAATACGTATCAAGGTATAGCCAGCCTCTGTCAGGGCAAACTGCTGCCCCGGACAGATCCTCGGCCCTCCATTGAATGGGATGTAAGCCCACCCAGGCTTCAGATTGGCCCATCGTTCCGGACGATACTCGGTTGCGTCAGGCCCGAATACTTCTGGGAGACGATGCATGCTATACACACTGTAGAGGACTTCATGTCCCTCGGGAACAAAAACAGGATCCTTGCCCTCTGGGCCACCACCAAGGGGAGAGAAAAGTGTCCTTGTTGGCTGTTCGAATGTTCATTGGCACAACCGGATACAGTCTCAGGGCTGTAAATAACATTAGGCTCCGTATGCGCGACAGGGGGTAAGAAATGGATGCAGACTTACTCTCGTTGAGGATCCAATTCAGATAAGTCATCGATCTTACATCTTCAAAGGATGGCGCTTTTTTCCCAAGCTTTAGCACGTCCTCTCTAAACTTGTTCCATATATCGGGCCTTCTAGCCAAGATAAAACACGTGATGCTAAGAAGGCTAGCTGTGGTGTCTCGACCGGCGAGCAGTATGTTGAGGAGTTGGTCGGTCAGCATCTTCTTGTCGGCTGTCTGCTTGGACAACTCATAGAGAAAGACATATCGCTCTTCCGAGGCCTTGAGTGTGTCGCTGCCACTGGTATGTGTGGCTCGATAGTCAAGAGCCTGTTGCACAAATTGACCGACGAAGCGGCGGGCTTCGACTGTCGACTTCGAAAAGGCCCGGTCTTGGTAGAGGAACATTAGAGGCCCGAGTCTGGCGCGAATAGCCAGCCCATCTTGGGACGTCTTGAAATCTTTGGCAAAGGCTGGTTGGTCATCACCAGCACCAAGCGAGTCTATAGACTCTCCAAAGAGGAATTCGGTGGCAGAGTCAATGGTCTGTTTCCCCTATTAGCTTCGCACTATCGAGGGGCGACTCTTCGGCCTTACCATCTGGAAAAACAACTCCTGCAGGTCTACAGATGACGCATCGCGGGGTATCTTCGCAATGAGGTTAGAGACATGTCTCTCATAAACATTCATGTCGGAGACCTGGTTGCGGACGAAATTCGGCCGCACGAGGGCTCTCGAGTGTTCCCATATCTGGCCGTCACTCGCAAAGATTCCCTGTCCAAGAAGCGGCGCTACAGCCTTGTTCCGGTGACCCAGATCAAAGTCCTTGAACTTGAGCGCGAGGACCGCCTGAACGTTCTTAGGCTCGATGGTAATGATGACAGGACGACCCAACGACGTTTTAAAAGTGTTGCCATGCTGGTGGTGCCAGGTTCGCAGCAGCTCCAAGGACTCGCAGTTCTTCATTGCTAACAAGAGATTGGCTACTCTGCCGAGCCCGAGGAATCCAGATGATGCCCCATTTGGCGTACGACAGTTGTGTTGGCGACAAAACTCCCACTCTAAAATGCTGGTTAGTCTCAGGTTCGTAGCTGTAGCCATGCCTCTACATACTTGCAAAAAGCCTCAGGACCCCCTTAATGGCGAAGACCAATAGAAGAAGGCAAGGAATGAAGATCGCAGTCTGCTTCAGCTGGCCAATCTTGAAATCCATCACGGACGATATCCTTCTCTCGGTTGTGAGTGTTTGGAATAGGAGAAGGTGCGCAGAGGTAGGAGAAGATGGAATTTCTGGTATCAAGAGTTTGCAGTTCTCAGTCTCAGAATCCAGGTTGTAATCTCTGGGTTTAGGGTGATTCTTACCTCGAATTATATATCGTCGTTTCACATGTCTAACATCTTATCAATTTTGTGAAGGAGACTCCTGGTTCCGAGGTTGACATGGGCTGAGTTCGACGGTTATAATAACGACCGGAGGGATTTTTCCCGATGCAGCAAACCGTCGAGTCGCGTGTCCCACTTCTCCTGGCCGTGATGAGGATGATAAAATAGGGATTGTTAACATGGAAACCAAGCTCGTCGAGTAGTGACCGGATATAACTTTCCGAATTGAGTTAGGAGCTTTTGATCTCTGTTGACCCCGCACACAAAACCCTTTGGGGTGGGCAGCTACTCGATCTGATAGGGCGGGGCGCCTTTGGACCAGAAGCTAGGCGTTTGCCCGTTGTGAAGCTTTCATGGAGTTGTAATCTTGTTGAGAATGCCTCAAAATCTAGCCTTGGCCTCCACATCAGTGCCGAGGTTGGCAGCAGCAAGATCACCGCGAGTGTTGTTGCTTTGGTATGAGCGCCACGTTACGTACCCCAGCAGATATGATATAATATACGAGGGTTCCCGAGCTCGACTTCCAAGTCTTCACCTACAACGCCTAGTATCTGTCCCTGCCAACAAAGAACGGAGAAAGGTGTAAAGATGTTTGGATTCGGCAAGCAGAAACAAACTCCTTGGGAATCAGTTGATGCAGCTGTGGAGAATCTACTCAAATCAGCCCGTACGTATCGACTTTCCATCATCTCGAATGTGCCTCTGCACGGCCATCCACCCACAGCTCACACTGCAATAGGCATCCTTCACAAGACAGTCGAGCCAGAACCCGATGATATGGGCGTCCTGGGCGCTTGTTCCATAGGGATGAAGGCAGAGGCTGTGCGGCAGGCCATTGAGAGGCTGAGCAAAGCCTTGACCGACTGCGCTTCGACCGAGCCAGATGGGAAGATGCAGCATGGCCAAGTTGAGAGCATGATGGAAAGGATTGACGCCAATAGCCCTCTCTTGATTGATGTGCTTAGAAGGCTGAGCGAAGTACATTTTCATCGCTTCTGCCAACTGGGAATGGGCTTGCCAACCGTGGTCAAGAAGGCGCTTAGTTGGATTGAAGGCTCAACCAAAGCATGCCTGGCCACCATGTCAAGAGTCAATAAAAGCCCGGAGCTGGCCAAACTCATCTCAACCGTTGGAAACAGGCTATTGGTTGCTGAGTCTAACGCACTGGCTATCTACAGCGGCACTGAGGGATAAGGAGGAAAGCTGGGGGTTGTTCGAATCTCTCATAGGTCACACGACCTTTCCATAGTGCTAGACTAGTGTCTCCTTTCCTCTGTCTCTCTCTTTACATAGCGCTTCAGTTACACACGGATTACAATAACACGCACTGTATCTTCATGAACTCATTTACTAGCTCATAGATCCAAACAGGGGTTATGGTAGACGTCAGAAAATATCAATTCACGTAGGCACGATGTGGTTAGCCCGCTGTGCGCAGAGTCGATCCAATGTTCTAGGATATATCAAGGATGAAGTCTAGTCAAGCTTTGTGATGTATTTTGGTCGGTTATATATAAATTTCCTGTTTATTGGTGTACTAGTTTACCGGACGTACGTTCTCTTCGACTTCTAAAGACACCGTACCTAGGTAGTTCCCAGTTTAATTACGTAGTGTTTGATAAAGTGATTTTTGGCTCATAAAGCACAAAATTGGGTCTTCATACATTAACTGGTTCCATAACTCAGTTGGTTAGAGTGTGGTGCTAATAACGCCAAAGTCGAGGGTTCCAACGTTTCTGGCTCCATATTCGTCCATCTTGAACTGGTTTATTCCTCCCTTTAATTTTTGTTTTGGGTTCTAGTTGGAAAGCCTCTCTAATACTACATCGACTCAAAAAATACGCTGCATGTTAAGCATAGGAGTAAATAATAATTTCTTCAATATCAAAGCAAAGATATTGAGAACCCCGAAGTATGCCAGCTCTAGAGTATGCCAGGTTCGCACCTATTGGGGGATTCTCAAGACCACCCTACCATCAATCTCCGAGCGCTCCAGGCGGTCCAACACATCATTGATATCGTCTAACTCAAAGACGTCAATATGCGCCTTCACATCGCCAGCCACGGCCATAGCCAGCATTTCATCCATTTCATCCGCTGTTCCTGCGGAGTTTCCGACAATAGTCAGACCTGTATCAGTTGGTCAAACCGGTTCATGTTTTAAGTTGCATAAGTATCAAAGAACTCACCCTTGACAATCATATCAAATGGCGTAGCTGGTAGCTTGAATGGCTTGTTGGGAATACCGACGCAGACCAGCGTTCCAAAAGGACGCAACATCTGCATACTTTGCTCGTATGCTCGCTCGCCGTTGGCAGTGCATATTACAGCATGTACACCAAAGGTTGTCTTGGCTTTGACTGCCTGGACAATGTCGACTTCGCGGTAGTCCAGGAATTCCGTAGCCCCAAGCGAAAGGCATAGTTGCTTTTTCTTATCTCCGCTTTGGAAGCACCATCAGGTTAGTTTGTTATATAAAGGTGACAGAGAATGTCCAACTTGAGATATTACATACCTGTCAATCGCAATGACCTTAAGGCCCTTTTTTGTGGCAATTTGAATTCCCCTGTAAGACATATGTTCGTCAGAAAACAAAGCTCTCAGTCATCGAATGCTGGGTTGGGGATGTACATATGACCAAGGCCACCTCCAGCACCAAGGATGGCAAGGTAGTCTCCTGGGCGAGTCTTGGTCTTCATGATGGAAGAGTACATAGCAATTCCAGCTGGAGATAATGATTAGCGTTTGCACCGGCGAAATACCAATGGAGAAAACATACCACATAGAAGAGGAGCGGCACTGTCTGGTGAAAGCTGCTCCGGAATCTTTGTCACATGCAGTGCTGGACTTACAATATATTCTGCGGCATGATATTAGAAGCGCTCTATTGATCTGGATGACTGCCCTCATAGATAAAAGACAAAGACTTACGCTGGAAGGTTCCAGGTACATTCTGCAAACCATCAATGCAATCAGTAACGGAAACGATGGCGGGAGACACATGATTCCCGGTGATCAACGACTTACTGCACCAGCGTTCTTCTGGTATGGGCATACGGTATGGTTGATTTCACAAATTTCGCACTGGCGACAAGAGCTGTAGAGCCATCTAATAGTGGAGATTCCTTCAACGTCAATATAACTTCAACCGGACGACCAATCTGCGATGAAGGAGACAGACCTGATACCAACCCGCGTTCCCATCCATTGCTTCTCGTCAACTTCTGGTCCGACTAAGGGCAATGACGAATGTTAGTATATATTCTGAGCTGCGATCAACTTGACGCAGCGATAGCTCTTACCTTTGACTACTTTCCCAACACCTTCATGACCCGCGACATCAGTCAACATAGGTGTGTCGCCGCGGATGCTGTGAAGATCCGAGTGACATACCCCAGAAAATTCAAGCTTGACGAGGATTTCGCCTTTTCCTGGAGTTGGCACTGGGCGGTTGCTCTTGATCCCCACCTTTGCGGAGACAGGAGTACTTGTGGAAGCGATAACAGCAGCGATTTGAATTGGAGGGATTGGAGGGAACGACATGTTGGCTGGTTCTATGAATATTCGAGATCACGTCTTGGGGAAACTCTGTGAATCTTTACGAGGACACTTGGCTTAAATAGTTCGGTAGTTGAGAGCTGATCCGATAGGCGGTATTAGTCGTATCGCAGATGCGGGGGTCCCAAGCGAGGAAGGACGCAAAGATAAGCAGAAACAGTTACTTATGTAGGTAGGAGATGCCAAGATATGTATATTGGGAAGGATCTATATTTTGGGCAGGTTAGGCAGGTTAGACCGGAGATGAAGAAGGAGATATCCATGGATCAATACAAATGATCGATTACAAACTCGGATAGAATAAATCGGACACTTCTTTTTTACAGTCCAGCGCCAACAATTCAATTAAACAATTATGTGTAAGCCGCGGGTCTGACATCGGAACAATCATGAAGGAATATAAGACAAGGACTCTGCTAGGCAGAGTGAAGGGAAGAAGTGGTACAGCACTCCGAATGCAGCAGAAGGCCTCCGAGTTGCGAGAAACTCGAACACCAAGGTATCAAAGATGAAATTCTAAACCCGACATAAAACGCCAGAAAATCATGCATTCTCGGACTGGATTGTTTGCTGCAAGTAGAGGAATAGTTAGTTTGAGAAACCAGCAGGTTGCGTTGGGGAAAGAAACGAACCACCAGCCAATCCATTCCTTCATTAATACCCTTGCCATCAATGGCAGAGCAAGCGACAATACTCCAGTTTCGGTCCCGCAGCTCTCCCAGCTTCAAGGCCTCTGAGATCTCGCCTGCGCCCTTGGCACCGGGCTGATCCTGTTTGTTGGCAAACACTAGCAATGCTGCGTCGTGAAGTTCCTCCTCGTTCAACATGGCTGCTAATTCATCTGCTGCGGTCCCTAACCGCTCAATATCTGTGGAGTCAATGACGAAGACCACTGCGGCGGTGTTGGCGTAGTAGCATCGCCAGTATGGGCGGATAGAAGTTTGGCCACCAAGATCCTACAATCCAGGGATATTAGTTATGGCCCGAATGAGCCTAGAAAGAGGTAAAACATACCCAGACATTAAGATTGAGATTCTTATATGTGACCGATTCGACGTTGAAACCGATTGTAGGTATCGTAGTGACGACCTCACCAATCTGTGGGCGCGAGGTGTCAGCCCCGCGAATCTCACTCAAACGCGCCAGATAGCCCGGGTTTCAAAGCCATAATATCTTACCTTGAGTCTGTACAGCAAAGTAGTCTTTCCAGCGTTATCCTAAATTCCCAAAAGAATGTTAATTAGTTTCAGTCCTTGTCACACTAATGAGATCCTGCTTTCCCCGCGTGGGGACACAGTGAGACACAACGTACAAGTCCTAGAATCAAGATACGAATCTCCTTCTTGGACCAGAGCAGGGACCAGATACGCGATAGTGAACCCCCCATCGTGTGTATGATTAATCAGTGGGCGCGTTGTGCACTGTTCAGTTCACAAATTGTCCGGGCAAGTATGGAGCTGAGGATGAAAGATTGAGGGGCGCGTAAGTCGTATGGATTGAAATGAGACAAACTCGCTATGGAGGTTATGGTACAAGTAGATGAGATAGAGGTGAAAGAGAAGAAAGGCATTGGTGGCAACCACATTGGATGTTCTTTGGCCGATCGGCCTGTGCGGTGTGGGCGGTCAATCGGGGGATCATCGTCTTGCGGGATTGAGCTCCTCATTTAGAAAACCCCATTGTCTCCTTCCCTCTGTCATATTCTGGTCTTGTTCAGTTTTATCGCATTCTACGCGACTACCCCTCACTATCGGAAGTGTGACCAGGGCACTGCAGTCACCTCCGGCGCACTCCCTAGATTTACTGCGACTACTCTCAATTGAAGACAGCCGACCACAACCCGATACCATCATGGTTGGAAAGAAGTCGGGCAAGGCCCTCCGGGATGAGGGTAAGACAATCTGACCGGGCTGGTGGAATACAAATGTCTACAACAGAGCAGCTAATACTTGACATAGGCCTGGAGCGGACTGACAATAACATGGAACTATCCAGCTGGCCGCAGATCCCAGCAATCAACCAGAAGAATTACTACACGTACGTATACCCAGACCAATGTCTGCCGCATTCCTCTAGTTGAAGATGTCAATATTGATTGCGCTATGTAGTGACTACCTGAAACGAGACGATCAAAACCTCGCATTCCGACTCCAAAACGAGGAAGCAAGGACAAAGATGACGAAGAAAGCGAAGGATCAGGACCGTGCCCTTGCTATGCCCAAGACCGAGACCGCGGAAGGCGAGGGTGAAGTAGATGGGGACGCCCAAATGGAGGATGCGGAGGAGACCCCAGCCGAGATGGCTGGCTCCAAGGTTATTGTCATTCACATGGGCAGTCAGAACCTCCGGATTGGACTTGCCAGCGACGCACTGCCGAAGACATTGCCAATGGTGATTGCGAGGAAAGCAGCCACCAGCGAGTCCGAAGACCATGATGAACCTAAGCCCAAGAGGTTTAAACACGATGATGGCTCTGAAATGGAGCCCGAGAAGGCCTTTGGACCTGAAGTATGTTCGGTGCAATTTTGTTGAGATAGCCGTGTACTAATCTTTTGATAGTGGTCGTCTCATTTCAATCGGATGTCTGCGGATTTGAAGGTGCACATGCGACAGAACAAGCGAAGAATGCTTCCAAACTCCAAGGAGATGGTTGTTAACTATAACCGCAGAACCGTGCCAGAAATTATCTCTGAACACAATGACCCAATGCGTGCCGAATGGACCGAGCTCTCTAATCCCCCACCAGAGTATATCGTCGGGCAGCCGGCCCTGCGAGTACCGGATTCTTCAAAACCTCGATACAAGCTGTATTGGCCAATCCGGAATGGTTGGTGCAACGAGAAGGACTATGCAAGCAAGAGGTCGCTCTTCCTGGATATTTCATTGATCGTGGAAGATGCGATCAAGAATCAACTGCGCTTGACGAGCAAGAAGGATTGGACCCAGTATTCGTGTGTGTTCGTCATCCCGGATCTTTACGACAAATCCTACGTTACCCAAGTCTTGGACATGTTGATGCGAGAGTTTGCGTTCGCTCGGGTGTGTTTCATCCAAGAGAGTCTGGCAGCCACCTTTGGTGCCGGCTTCACCTCGGCATGTGTCGTCGATATTGGAGCGCAGAAGACTTCGATCTGCTGTGTGGAAGAAGGCATGTGTATTGAGAACTCCCGAGTGAACCTGAAGTATGGTGGTCAAGACATGACCGAAACGTTCATCAAGATGATGCTGCACGATCATTTCCCCTATGCCGACATCAACCTACGGCGTAGACACGACTTCCTTCTGGCCGAAGAGCTTAAGAAGAGTATTTGCACCATGAACGAAGCCAGCGTTTCTCCACAAGTCTTTGACTTCCATCTTCGTGTGGCAGGCCAAGATACACGAAAATATACTTTCAAGGCTTTTGACGAAGTCCACCTTGCGCCAATGGGTGTTTTTGAGCCTGCCATTTTCGACAACTCTGACAAAATTACCGGGAGACGGACTTTGATCGATCGTTCTGTTGACATCTACGACGGATCACCTAATGATCCTACTTCTGCAGCCCAGTCAGAGATTCTGACTGCTATGGCCCCTCCTCTCCCCTCTCAAGGCAAGACAAATGGTGAGTCTCACTCGGCGGCACCGGATGTTCAGGCCACACCGAGCCGCCCCCAACACCCTCATGCTTTAAGCAAAGTTCAAGATCTGGAGGGCACACCTCGATCTTCTGTTGCTGGTTCTCCAGGACCGGAGAACACAGGGACCCCGCAAGCAGGAGGCACAAGCACACCCGCTGCCACGGCAACTGTTCCCCAGGCTCCCCGCCCTCCTGCGGTAGAAGATCGTGATGATATCATGCCTGTGTTCGGTCTGGACAACGCTATCCTGACCTCCATTGCCCACGCGGCTCGGTCAGACGAGAAGAAGATGCGGGATTTCATCGGCGGTATCATGGTCGTCGGTGGCGGCAGCTTGACTAGTGGATTCCATCTCTTCCTGGAAGAGCGACTGCAGACTCTCCGCCCTGGCTTCTCAAAGGAGATCATGATCGGGACACCGCCCCGAGACCTTGATCCCCAGGTCGTTGTGTGGAAGGGAGCCAGTATTTTCGGCAAACTGAGTGGTACAAACGACAGTTGGATCGGAAGACTGGAGTATGACCGACTTGGTCCCCGGCTGATGGCGTACAAGTGCATGTGGGCCTACTGAGTGCACTTTGGGAGATTCATTTATGGTATTATGAGAATTAGGCGTGGGAGTTGCATGTTTTTGGTCACTTTCAAAAGGAATTTGAATATTTTTTTCTAATACAATGGAGTACTCTGAATCTTGCAATCGGTACCTAGGTGAGCTAAAAGGAAAGAGCCTGCACATGTGAAAAGGCCGCTGTGAGCTTGTTGTCCTGAGGTTGGATAAATGCACGCACTTTTCGCTTCAAACTTTTTTTCTTTAATTGGTTTTTCTGTCGCTTCACGTGATCATTTCTGTATTTCCACGCGTATCTTCTTCAACACAGTAAATAGGCGGTGGAAATGGGCAGAATAATGGTCCTCAGGCTCAGCTCCGGAGTTGCTCTGTATGGCAGCTTTTACCGATTCCTCCAGCTCCATTTGTGGCCAGTCTGGATAAGTCTCTTCTACTGGCGAGCTGAACCACTGGATTCTGATATTATTGCCAATTTTCCTCCCTACCACTGTCCCTGCCTTTCTACAAGCCCTTGACTTTCCTCACGGTAGGTTTGCGACCAATTCCCTCACATCCATTCTGAATCGAGCTTTTATACTAACTGGCTACTGTAGGGTTACACTACCATTTCTGTTTGCCAAAATTGAGGCGACAACCTTCCGATTCATCCCAGTCCATTACAGTGAGCTTCTGTCCCACCCAGTTCAGACGTACGCCGAGTTGCTAATGCGCAATTAATCGCCTAGTCAATCGCGCGACCAAATAAGACGACAATATGACTTCCAAATCTAAGGAGGGTCAGTCATCAGGTGGCTTTCACCAGGAGTACATTGCGTCCCTCCGCTATCGCAATGATCTCCCTCCCCGGACATGCCCCCCAAGTTCCTTGACATCCCACACGAGGGCTTGAGTCGCTTCCTCACCCCCGGGTTTGCCTCAAACCTGGCACGCCGTGAGGAGCCCAACATTGAAGTCGATGCCGAAGGTGGAATGCCAATTGACCTTGTCGGTATTCCGGGGTTACATTTGGGCGACGAGAGTGGTATGTCAACGCATAATCTCCTATCATTTCCTTGCTGCAACTAACGTGTCCACTAGCTATTATGGCACCTGAGAATCCTCAGCCCATGGACCCCGCTGATCTTCCCCTTCTCATGACTATTGAGCAACTCCGAAACCCTGCCCCCAGGAATACCAATGTCAGTTTCCTTCGCCGTACACAACACATCGGTGTCGACCGCAGTGCCGGAGATGGATCTCGCCCTGCACCTATTAAAACACAATCACGCACTGCGAAGAAAGGAAAGCCTCCTGTGGATGACCCGAAGCATGTTAAGAAGTTCATCCAGAAAGGATTTGACATCGCCTACCCCCAGAGCAAGCACTCTGGAGACGACACTGATAGCCACATCCGAGGTCTTCCACCCACAAAGGCAGAACTTAGTGCCTGGGCTAATCCCGTTCACCCTGAAAACCCGAAGCTGAAGCCAGTTGGTTTCTTCCCTGTGATGCCTGACCTGGAAGGGTTCCCAGACCCTGGTGGTTACCTTCAATTCAAGTTTGATAAGGCACCTTTGACAGCCGTCGGAGGCAAGCGGGACAAGCGTATGGATGTTGGTATTCTGACACCAGTCGCACCGGAGCAGCGTGTTTGCCAGGAGCATCAATCTAAAGTGGATCTTCACAACACGAACCCTGTTCTTTATGCCCACCCGGGCCCAGTCCCTTATGACTACCAGCTCTTCCTTCCAGAGAAGCCGCAATCCGTTAAGAACATTGACGCAAGCATGAACCTATCCAACGCAAACCGAGACAGCGAGGACCTCTACACTAACGAGAGCGCCGAGGGCCACAAGTTCCACCGTTATGATCGCATTCGCACTTACGCCACCAGTGCTCAGGTCTTCAACACCGAGCAAAAGGACATCGCATTGACGCTCTTCAAACCCAAGAATGGTGACACCAGACAGTTGGCCGCTTACTACTATCCAATTTCAGGAAAAGCCCGCCTCAAGCCGGAGCGTGCACGCACTATCGCCCAGGCCGGTCTCGCTCCCACTTCCACCCAACAGGAAGAGATGGAGGAACGGGTTGACCAGATGCAGGTGGTGATGCGTGACCCCAACGAGGCTGAAATCTACAAGCGTGCTTTGACCCGTCTGCGCATCGATCCGAAGTTTGCAAGCAATATGCCACCCGAGCCCGTTGCTCAGGAAGAGGAGCAACCGTTGGAGAACGAGGAGACAGAGAAGCCAGCCGATGAGGATACTCGCATGAGCGATGACGAATAGATATCCGCGGCTGTCTATTATGTATTATGGATCTTTTTTTGAACATTACAATCTCGAAGTTTCTGCCTAGGTAGTTTCCCATGGGTCTGGCGTCTGAGCAATGGAAAATGGCGTTACGCACAGTCAATTTTCAACCAAAGCAGTTATACAATCAATCGTGTCACCGATGCATTTGTGAATGTAGTTTTGTATGAAGGCATGATATTCCATATAGGCACACTGCGGTCACCGGTAGACGACATTGTAGCTTGGTCTTTGTCCCCCTATCAAAGTTCACTGCCTTGAATGCTTTTACATCCACCTTCACCTTCACTTTCAAGTCACCCCCTTGGTTTTTACCAAGTCCCCTCCCCTATTCTACAAAATGGCTTTCCATGCTCAACCGGAGCACTATCATTTGTTTCTTCTTCTTCACGCATGATAGCTGTTGCACCGAGGCATTTGCTTGCTTGCTTGCTTGATGAGCTCTGTTTGCCCTTTTTCTTTCTCCCTATGAAGCTATATAGATGGCTTCATGGCACCGGTAGTGCTTTCCATCACTCACATATCTATCAACCACTTCCTGCTTCCACACGTACATATTACGTGTATTGACAACACACCCGTGGACACTTGCCACGACCACAACCATTTATCTCGCAAACCATCCCTATACATGGGCGCCTTTCCTTGACGTCCACAATGGGGTTGGTAGATTTTCCAACCGAGCTGATCCTCATGATCGAGGAACTTTTCCCCACACAAGCTAGTGTCTTTGCCTTAATGAGATGCCATTCCTCCAGGCATGCTATTTTCCAAAATCGGCTCTACAATCTAGCAAAGGGGGACGAGATTCTCGGGAATCTGTTATGGGCATGTGAAATGGGAAATGAAGGCTTGGGTTCTGCAAATAATGTTGAACAACAGCGAGTACTAGCTTATAAGTATCAAGCCCCCAATCTTGATCATCTCAACATGCTTTCTTGAGCCCACTCAAAATTTGTGGCTGCATGCTTGACATGAACTGATGCATCGGTGTAAACTCCGAGTTCTCACATAATGATCGGACATAATCACTTTCCTCTTGCAATTTCGGTGGTTGAATTGACTTGAGGTGCCGAGCTGCTATTATCAATGGGAAAGGGACGAGGTGTTGACGAAAGACACCGGTGGATGGGTGTAGGAATGACGGGATACAGCGTATTATACTGCGACAACAATCGTCCGGATCAACACCGACAGCATCACATTCCCCATCGGAAAGAGCACGACGGATACTGTAAGCGATGAGACTCGATGTCCAGTAGAGTGTCATGATATGCGCGTCGGCGATTTCATTTGTCGTAATGTTGCTTGGGAACTGCCACTTCGGTCCTATACACGCCAGTTTGACTGAAAACTTTGATCTCCAGTCGGCTAATTCTTCTAGGACAGTAAAAGTTATTTCCAGGAGGTTAAAACGCTGCCTCAACTTTGCCGGAGAATCCGGCTGAATATTCATGTTGTCAATGCCCTCGTATAGCGAGGGGATTTTCAGGAGGATGTCCACCAGCAGGTCTTTTTGTGTCTTTGGGTGATGAATCCAAGGATCAGTCATCCACGCTGGCTCGCTAAAAACGAGCTTCTTTCGTTCCTTCAGTGCACATTGTACCTGTTCATATGTTAGCAGTACTCCATATCATCGAGATATAGATCAATTACATGGTTGAGTCGCCCGTCAACAAACAACCTATGAGCTGGACCGGTAGCGTAAAATGATGGTGGATTGGAAAGTATAAGCGCAAGATCTCCAGAATGGTGAACCCTCCAGTTGCGGGATTGCCCTTCCTGGTTGCGCCAGTCACCGCCGTATAAAGCCTGAATAAACCACATTAGTCTACTACAAACTTTCAAACAAGATCATCCTGCAAGCCAAAGGCAGGAGTTTGAATAACATATACCTCGTAGAAACTGAATACTCGTGCAGCACCGAGAAGTTCGAGACCAGGCTTCCCGCGGGAGCTTAATGCTTTTCGCATTTGTTGTAAGGCATTTATATGCAGCTTTGCTCCCTGCTGTTTCATCCAATTATGGCTGCTGTCATTATTTGCGGCAGCACTGAGTGCCATTGCACCGAGAGCAGTGCGTAGGATGCTCTTTTCCGCTAGAATATCTCGAAGTACACTGATGGAGCCACCTAGATCTCGCTGGGTATTATTAAAAAGCGAGAAAGACTGACTGTTTGGCATGTAAGATGTCCAAAAGTTCCCTTCAAGGCATAATTCGCGGGCGGTTTGAGAAAGAGTGACGGAGGTAGTCAGGTCAGCTGATAAAGACGAATGATTCGGACTAGCCTCGATGGGAAGGCGGCTTTGGGCCCCGCGAGAACCTCGAAAAGAAAAAACTTCTCCCTCATGGCCATGGTCATAGTAGCGGTATATTAGCAGACCCTCATCATAGCCCTCGCAAGGGATGCAAGACCTTCTGCATTGGCCACACGAGGGCTGTTGTAGATCACACTACTCTCGTGGTTAGTACTGTTGTTTCAATTTAAAATAAGTACTTTCGACATATTGAACAAATGCTTACACCCTTCTTGCGCCGCCTGCAGGTACGGCATGCTTTCGAACGTCCCGGGACACCAACCATTGGCAACTGGGCTGGGTGATATAGTGGAAGGGCGCGCTTGAATTCTAGTAATTCCTTTCCTATCTGTGGAGTGGTGATAAAAGCAGTCACTACCGTACGCAACGTGTTCCTCTATGTCTTGGCTCCAGGGCTGTTGCTGACCACGACTATTGAAGTTGTCTCAGACTCGCACGGTTTACACTAACCAGGAATGCGGTGAGCCTATCATATTTTTACCGCATTTTATTTTTATACCTTCTATAGTGTATTGTTTTTAAAATTCGGGATTTATATGGTGCATGTATTTATTTTCATATAGTATTCGAATTTAATACTCTTACTAAGGAATATAGTTTTCTACCCGTGAGTCTAAGTACCTAAGTAGTATGTACGGTAGTTATTATAAATCGGGTTGTTGGATTTGGAGACTCAGACTATCATACGGAGTACTATGCCTTCACTTTGTGATCTGCTTCGACTAAAATATGACTACAACCTCGTTCTCATCCGTTGTGGTTTTTGGTAAGTCTCGTGCGTTTTTGGTCACGACTCCCGAGTAAATTTTGACTCGTGGATTGACACAACTAACCCAGTAGTTATATTTATCTCGTTAGGTGACCTCGATAGGGGACCTCGGCACACTGGCCCTAATGTTGTAGCCTTAGTGTTCCATACCAGAACTGCCATAATACACAGTTGCAGGCTTCTTCCCATTGCTGGACTCTTTTCCCCGCCCCCAATCATAGATATGGAGAACTGCGTACAATACCCATGGTCGCATATGTACATATTTACATATGTAGTCTAATTCGAGAAGACAGCATAGAAGCCCGCATCCAGCCTAGTACACCCCTGGCAAGATCCTCCACCTCACCGCTCTCTTATACTCAACCCAGTCCTCTCCATACTTCTCCGTACATACCCTATTATCCCTCCGCTCCCGGTGCACAAGCAGTATGCCAAACCACGCCGAGTAAAAGTACGTCACCAGTATCCCCCAACCTGCCGCATGCCCTGGCACCACTTGCCTGCCGTCTAGCATCGTTACCGCTCCAGCTCCCGTGGCAGCCCCGGCCGGGAGGATCACGCAGCCGGCGATCCCCGTGGGCAGACAGAATGGCAGGGATTGCAGCCAGTCGCCCAGGTAGTTAATGTGGCGAGCGTGGCCCCACCAGCCACCCGTGAGAAGTCGCGTCCCGTTCCTTGTCTGGATATACGGCATGTTCTTGAAGGCCGGGTTGTCGGGGTTCTCACGGAAGAGGATCTTCTGGGAATTACTGGCCCGGAAAATGTATAGCCCCACGGAGAAGATGATTCCCACGGCCGCGAGGCCATACGGCCCCATGTGCACCGGATACATTGCCAGGTATCGGCACTGCGTCGAGTATAAGAACGGCACCCACACAATATCCCCAAACGTCAGCATAAAGCCCAGCCCATCTGTCTTGAAGTCCATCATGCCCACGATCCCCTGCTCCGCATACTGCCCCTCGAGGACATAGTATGCCTGCACCCCCACCAGAAACACCATACTGTCTGACAGAAACCCGTACGCACGGTACTGCTTGGCTGCAAAGGACGCGTTCAGCAGCACCCACCCCGTCAGCCCCGGTCGCATCGCCAGCCACGTCTTAAGGTCGACCTCGCCGATCAGAGGGACGTACACGCGCGGGTTGAGCTCTCGCCCGATGAAGAAGTCGTAGATAATGCTACCGGTGTGGCCACCGCGCGCCAGTTCGCGCAGTTGCGGGTTACCTGGCCTCACGGAGAAGCTACGGGCGTAGACGGCAATGGAGATAAGAAGAGCAAGGGTGAGGTTGGCGGTAAGCAGCTGCAGGTAGTTATCCGCGATCCATATCCAGAGGAAAAAGTTGGAGCCGTGAATGTACGTGCCGATAGCGCAGGGCACAAGCTGCACAATACTGGACGAGAAGGCTTCTCTAATTAGCATCATCAAGCAACACCAGCATGAACCAGGCCTGGCAACTCACCGTTAAACCTGTATCGCAGCGGCTTCCCCGACTCCCTTAACTTGGTCCCTAGCACCTCCCTCGCTGGCAGTACGCAAAACAGCACCAGGCTGACAAGGTAGTAAGTTAGCACCCACCCTGTAACTGACCAGCTCGCAAAGCCCCAGATCCCGTCTTCTGGCCAGGGGATCTGCAGCTTGAGGTTGTCCCAGGTTAGCGAGCGGGGGCTCAGCAGGGCCGGGGCAGGACATCCGCTGATATCATTGCAGGCGAGAAAGAGGACGTTCATGAGGATTGGCAGGCCGAAGATGATGCAAGTGGCCCCGAGGCTGGTGGATGGTCAGTTACTAGGACTCGAAGTTGCTTTGCATCTCTTACGGGCCGCCGAAGTCATATTCGACGTTTTTGACAGCCATTGTTGTCCACTCGTCGTTTTCCAGTTCCAAGATCACTTGTTTGCAGACTATCAGAAGTCCTCTAACGGCGGCAGTTACTTAATCGTTTACTCTACCCTGGTGAACGGTCGGACGACCCTTTTAATTTCCGTGCATATGTGAAAATGGCGCGACATTTCACCCTCGGGACGGGTCTCATCCGGCCTAGCAACTGACGTGGGCATATGCTTGTAGTGAGACAGGAGATGGGAAGCCTTCGAAATGACTAGCACCAATAACAGCACCGGAATTAGGGGTGACCTGATCAGGCTCTGTGCATCCCGAAAACGCCAGCCCTATATCCACTAGAACCCCGTCCGGCAGCGGTGTCCGCGGGTTCCGTGCCCGAGACTCTGCTTGTATGTCACTGTCCACTCCCATTAGTTGTATCCGTTTCGATATAAATTAAGTTTCATTTTTCTCTCTTTCAGGGCTTACCGCGTGCGGCAGCTCGCGTCACCAGTATTAATTAAACGATTTCACGCACCTGGATGGAACCTTGGAAAGTTCAGCCCCTGGAGATAACTTTAAATTGGTGGGGCCGTAAAGGCTCCCAGGCTAAACCCAAAAGAGAACATTATGCGCGCGCTACATTAGAGTTGTCAGACGGTATATCTTTTGAGGCTAAAATGTTCTCTTGATCCGAATTATCGCATAAGAACCTTTAGGTTGCCTCACTATCAGTTATTTTGCGATACCTTCAAGGCCCCAAACATGCATATCCCGTCCACCATGTACTGGAAGTGATTTCACCCGTCGTATTTCTAGATCCACCCAAAGACCAGCTCGATGATGTGGATAATGCATGGTGTCCTCGGATCAAACTTCATACTTTTTCCAACGTAAGCTAAAACCATCCATGAATTATTATCTTCATTACAAAGCTAATCTCACAAATTGCATAGGCCATTGAAAGCAGGTGCTGCCGTCACCTATAACGGAACAGACTTCCTTGTCCAGGACGACTGTACAGGCCAGATTAGGGAAGCGTACATCGCTGCAGACAGTATCTCATACTTCCATGCAATGGGGTTAGAGGCTGTCACTGTTTAAACACATTAGACAAGTTAGACACCTGGGACCAAGATCGCCTTGGGATAGGCAACTGGCAAACTGGAGCTTGGTGGCCTGTGATTAACTTAGTCAATTCACGCAGCGTTCAACCATTTGTCTTTTTTTTCAGTACATTAGTCAAGCCATCCCGAAATACCGCCATAATGAAGCACATCCATTGACTACATGTCCGCAATGGATAGTTTCAACAGCTTTCAACTTGACAGCCTCTATTGGAGATTTTAGTACTAATCCACGTGCAATTCATTTGAAGTGAGTATCATAGTATCGGTAATTCTTTGCCGTTTTATATCCCGACCGTGTCTAAGTAACATACCTAGACTGTAAGAGGCCCATGTCATGTATGACTGCCAAACATTTCTGATATATATTTGATCAAGACCCGAGAGTTCAGTCTGAGAATAGTGAAAACGAACCTACATGAATGGATTGATTTATAAACGAAATTGACAAACTAATAGTATATAATTGTGCGTAAAATCCTCCGGTCCTCGGGATCTACTTTACAAAGATTGTGGTGATATTGAGATCCCATCAAGTTCGCGTTGCCTCAAGAGACTCCATACTGACTTTGTCCTTCACGTAGCCATGACTCGGTGCCCCCGTATCATGTATATGCACTGTTGGGCCTGTCCCGATTTGGAAATCATCGCGTCCGGAAGAAAGTTCGCCCCAAGTCTCACTTGGCACGCGTCTCCTTCCAACCTCCAACAAGGGCCTGTGATTTACCCGCCGAGGAGCAACTGAGACAATATTGTCTCCTAATAATTAATTTCACTAGAATAGAATCCAGCTTTAGTGCTGATTAGGCCATGAGAAATCCGGTCTTATCGTTCTCTAGGCATTTTCGCTCGCCTTCAATATCCTCTCATCTCCATTCCATTTCCAGAAGAATTCAGGAGACCCTGCATTACCACAATCAAATTTGTGGCCTTTGTCGCACGAATGTGTCCATGTCTCAACATTCAAGGAATGATACTTCACTCTGTCATCTATACGAGCCCATCGAGGCAGTGGAGAAATTAGAAAGGTACAGCGTGGGGGGCTATCACCCCATAGCAATTGGGGACCTGTTTCATGATCGATATCGCGTGGTTCACAAGCTCGGCCATGTCACTTACTCAACGATCTGGCTGGCTCAAGATCAAAAAGTCAACAGATATTTCGCCATCAAGGTGTGTACAGCAGATTCGAATCCGCTCGAGTTCGGCATTCTCTCCAAACTTTCTAGCTCGCAACAATGCCCGGGCACAAGCTTAGGAAGGTCAATGATTCCTTCGGTACTAGATGGATTCAATATACAGGGCCCGAATGGCACACATCCCTGTTATGTGACAAACCCGGCAAGGATGAGTCTGTCTGAGGCGAAGGATGAATCATATACTCGTCTTTTTCAACTCGAGGTAGCTCGTGCTTTGGCGGCACAATTGGCGACCGCAGTCAAATACGTGCATTCCCAAGGATTTGCTCGTGGAGATCTTCACTATGGAAACGTCCTCCTCCAGCTGCTATTCGACTTAAATTCAATCTCTGTCGAGAAGTTGTATAAGGAGTACGGAGAGCCGGAGCTCAAAGCAATAAGGCGTTTTGACGGTAAACCTCTACCACCGGGTGTCCCGTCGCATGCTGTTATATCAATATGGTTTGGAGAAGCAAGTGATGACCTCGCACTTCCAGAAGCAAAGATATTGTTAGCTGATTTTGGCGAGGCTTTCTCTCCTACCCAGCATCAAAAATACCTATCCCACACTCCACTTATAAACCGCCCCCCGGAGGTTCGATTCGAACCACATAAGCCTCTTTCCTTCCCATCTGACATCTGGTCACTCGGATGCTCCATATGGAATATTATTGCCCAAAGCCCAATTTTCGAGGGCTTCCTAGCAACCGAGGATGCCGTGACTTGCGAGCAAGTCGATGCACTTGGCATATTGCCACGAGAATGGTGGTATCAATGGAAGGAACGGCATAATCGGTTCACCGAAGACGGGAAACCGATAAATCGAAAGCCTTACCGGTCGTGGGAAGACCGATTCGAGGACAGCGTACAGCAGCCTCAGCAAGCAGAAGGGATGCCGCCGATTGAATCGGCGGAGCGCGATGCCATTCTCTCGATGCTGCGATCGATGCTTTCATACAGGCCTGAGACTCGTCCTACTGCCAAGCAGGTTCTTGAATTCGAATGGATGGTGAAATGGGCTCTGCCTGAGTACGATAAGATTCGAAAGACCTGATCACAGCACAGCAAGCATTGTCTCTCTACACCCTGTGACTCAGACGCAACGTGCTGTTGAACAATGTAGTGGCCACTATCAAATGAAGATCTATTTCCGGAAATAGCCTACACTCATATCTCCGGTTAACCATGTATATAACACAGGCACCCCTATTGTGTATTAACGCTCTAAACGTTGTTAAGAAAACATTCCCTACTAACTATATGCTTTTCACCCGTGTATTTAACCATATATGCAGTTGACAAAGACATGTCATTACCCGGGCTAATGAGAATATGCGAAAAGGAAATATACAAGATAAAAACGTTCTAAGGTGCCGCCAGTACTCTAGCATCTTAAAACAAAGCGAATAGAATGACGTTTACTCGCATCTAGCTTTTTGGTGAGACTAGTTGCGACCTCGAGATGACTACTAGATCGGCATTCTGGAGACAACGCATTCGGCAAACCTGAAGATTATCCTCCTCAGTCCGCAGAAAGAACCCCAATTGGAGAGTGTCCCTCTTTTTTGTTCAATAACTGGTCAGCCAAATTTTGGGTATCTGACTCGGTTGTTATCAACTCAAAGTCGATCGAGGAGGCAGAATTGAGACCTAAGGCTGTACTGTACGTCCTATATGTAGGCCGACCTTCCATGACGATTTGCAAACGGAATTGACAAGCCAATCGTACATGATCTCAAAATCTTCCGGTCTAGGGGATCTACTTTATAATAAATTGTGGTGATTTCGAGATCCCATCAAATCTGGGGAACTCCCAGTGTGGTAGCAATCGGGGAGCTGATTGGTGCCCGTGGGCCCTGAGGATTGGCCTTGGTGGCGGCCCTATGGGGGGCACAGCAGGCCCCACGGGCCAGGTCGATGGGACCCTAACGGTCAGTGCCAAGACTTTCGGGGAACCACATGGGAAGTGACAGGGCTGTGAGTGGCCCAGATATTGGGGGACTACAGGCTACTGCAGGAACCCAATTGTCCTTAGAGTTGGATCGCAATTGATTTGCAGTGGATTTGGATTGGTTTGTGCCGCTTTTGGATGATCGACTACTTCAATCCAAAGGACTACAATGGACCATGTACAAGCTACTTTCTTAATGCACATTGGTATACGTGCAGTCCATGTCCATTGTACCTTCCCTTGCCCCTCCACTCCCTCTTATCATCTGCACCCCCCATGTGTTGCCGTGATAGGACATGGTACACGCTGCTCTCTCCTCGTGAGAGGGGCATGTGGTCAATTAAAGCCAATTCGATTTGTATTTGAATCTCACATTCGCTTCTCTTACTCTTCGTTCGTTGCATCACTCTTTGAACATTGAACATGGATTGGATGCACGTTTACATCGTCGGGGCCGCCGTACTAGTGTTTGCCCTAGTCGGTCTGGTTCTTCTCGTCTCATCTCAGCACATCAAAGTCGCCAACACTGGAGCTGGCCCTTACTTGAAATTCATCTGGGCAAGCTTCATCAAACCGCACGATAAGCAGGCTGGGGGCCAGCAGGATGCGTTGGAGAGCTTCTACAAGACACAGGTGCGATCAAATGACCACGAGCTTGGATATGGCTCTAAGCTGACCGTGTCAGGCCGCAATTTACGATGCCACTCGTCGTCGTCTGCTCTGTGGTCGCGAGGACATGCTTGGTCTTGTGGGTGCGCAGTTGAAGTACAAGATTAACAACAAAGACGTCAAGGCTGGAAAGGCTGTCTGGGTGGATGTGAGTATTGACTTGCTATCCTGTTGAGCTAGCGCTAATGTATTCCAGGTCGGTGGTGGTACTGGGTAGGCACGAGAGGAACCCCGAGGTGATACAGACAGAATATCTGACTTGTGACAGATACAACATCGAAGCCATGGCTGCCTTCCTTCCGGTCGACAAATTCTTCAAACACGTTTACCTAGTCGACCTCTCCCCGTCCCTCTGCGAAGTTGCCCGCGAGCGCTTCGAGCGTCTTGGGTGGAAGAATGTTACGGTTCTCTGCCAAGATGCCCGGTCTTTCCATCTGCCTGAGAAAGATTTTGATCCCCGGTCTACAAATGCAGCAAGTGATGGCGTGGACCTGATTACTATGAGCTACAGTCTATCAATGATCCCTGGTGAGTATCCAAAATACACGCAACACTATTGATATTGACTTTCTTTTAGACTATTACAGCGTCGTGGACTCATTAACCTCCCGCTTGAAGTCAACTGGAATATTGGGTGTGTGCGATTTCTATGGTAAGCAATATCTCGAAGTTCGGCATGAATATCGCTCATTCAAATACAGTCCAAAGCATTGTGGATGTGTCCAGTCGCAACTACACGGGCGGTGCTTTCAACCGCCATGTCAACTGGCTTGGGCGTGTATTTTGGAGAGCCTGGTTCGATTTCGACCGGGTGAGCCTTGAAGCTGCCCGCCGAGACTACCTGGAGTACAAGTTTGGTACTGTCATCTCCGCCAGCGAACGAAACTATTTCCTTGGTGGCATTCCCTACTACATATTTGTTGGTTGCCCAAAGGAAATTGCATCTACCCCATCAAGTCAATCCATTGAGAAGCTGAATGCGTCTTTCACTGAGTCTCCTTACCTGCTTCCTGCCAATCACAAGCAGGAGATGGATAATGCAGTGGTGAAAAGCTCACAAGAGATTCGTTCCAAGGCATATGAGTCTGCAGTGATTAACCTGAGTGCAAACCTGCCGCTTCCATCATCGTTTTACCAGAACCACCACTATCGCATTCATTACAACGACATGCTACCCAAACATACTCAATTCCAGAACGAGTATATCTACGCATTCACATGGGAAGACCCGCGGGTTGACCACCGGCTCCTGAACATCGGCAAAGACGACGTGATCCTGGCTATCACCAGCGCTGGTGACAACATTCTTGATTATCTGCAAAAGAGCCCCCGCCGGGTGCACGCAGTGGACCTGAACCCTAACCAAAATCACCTTCTCGAGCTGAAGGTTGCCTGTTATTCAGCGTTGGGTCACCGGGATATGTGGAAAATCTTCGGTGATGGCAAGCACGCACAGTTCCGCGAACTGCTAATCTCTAAACTCAGCCCTCACTTGTCCAGTCAGGCTTTCCAGTACTGGCTCGAGCACACCCAGACCTTCACCTCCACCTCTGGCCATGGTCTGTACGAGACCGGTGGATCTCGCCACGCCATTCGTATGGTTCGATGGCTCTTCAACATCTTCGGACTCCAGGGCGAAGTTCGCAAGCTGTGTGAAGCACAAAGTATTGCAGAGCAGCGTGAAATCTGGCCTCGCATTCGACGTGTGCTAATGAGCCGACCACTCAACTGGGCTATTGTGAGCACAGAATGGTTCGCCTGGAAAGCCGCCGGAGTACCACGCAACCAGCGAAATATGATTGTCGACGACTTCTTCCGCCGCAACGGCTTGACTGAAGATATGAAGAAGGGCAAGGATGTCAGCGGCCAATCTATTTGGGAATATGTTGTCAATACTCTTGACCCTGTGGTCAACGAAACTCTGATCAGCAACGACAACTATTTCTACTTCCTTTGCGTTCAGGGCAAATTCTCAAGGAGGTTCGTTTCTTTTTTTATGTCTTTCAATTACACGTGCTAACTGCAATCATAGATGCCACCCCACCTATCTTTCTCCACAAGCACATGTTAGGCTTTCCACGCCTGGTGCATTTGATGGCCTTCGTATCCACACTGATGAGATCAACGAAGTGATCAACCGTATCACCCCGGGAACTCTGACCATCGCCGTAGTAAGTATCAAAATGTTAACTTTCAGCAGTATTATCCATGCTAAATGTACATCAGGTCATGGACTCAATGGACTGGTTCGATCCCGCAGAGGACTCAGCTCCTGCCCAAGCCCGAACTTTCAACAAAGCCTTGAAGAATGGTGGTCGCATCCTCCTCCGTTCCGCCAGTATCAATCCTTGGTACATCAAGCACTTTGAGGAAAACGGCTTCTCTGCTCGTCGCGTGGGAGCTCGTTTCCCCGGTACATGTATTGACCGGTGAGTTTGTCAATTTTTGTTCTTGACTATTAAGGACGAAGCTTATACATATATTCTAGGGTGAATATGTACGCATCGACCTGGATCTGTACTAAAACCCAGGACTTGTCCCGCCCCAATACAGACCGCAAGATGTCGACTCTCTCATTGGGGGATAGCGCTATTATCGGAGACAAGCTGCCGAGCAGTGTGGAGAATCTGTTGATTTAAGTATGGCGATTCCTGTTTTTTTTTTCCTTGATGTGGTCCATTCAAATTACGCCGCACGTACCTCGGTACCTGTTCATGATACCTATGATCTGGAGTTAGATGGAGTGTCTCGTATGCTTGCCTTCAAAAGCGCAGGGGTCAGGAGTATGATTCGAACTATGTTTGCGATTTCCATGTGGAATCGGGATGACTTGCTAACAGCTTGTCCTAATCGCACCCGCCATCTTTATTTTGAAGTTTCAACTATCCTTCTTGCAAAATAACTCTGTGTCTATCTAATTCAGATATTCTCTTTGTTAAGGCGTACGACCTACAACCTTGTAGATCCCCACAGATCAGCCAGAAATGGCTATATAGCGGCCGATCACCCCGGCGCTGATTTGAGCACATTTGCGCAAGTAGACTACATATTCAATAGACTAATCCCGCTAGTTTCAGTATTTACTCAATAGATCCAATATTCCCTCCGTTTTTGGGATCCATAGACATTGACACAATTGTTATTAGACTCAGAGCTATATTTGAATCAAATTAGAAGCATGCCATTCGACTCCAAAGGTGATAAATGGTCGTGGTAAGATCCCCCCTGTGTTACTTGGATCTACACCAGATTTTGTAGAAAACATACTTACAGATCCTACAAAAGCGAATCCTGTATTCGAGGCCACCGCTCGTCCAAATGCGCACACTACGACCGACCGATGAAGAGAATCCCAAAGGCTGGACGTCCGCTGGCAAAGTGTTCGCACCTCAATGGCGTTGATTGCAGTTGTCGGGAGATTTGGGCGGTTATGGTTCCGCTTGCTCCAGGTATGTCATGTCAGAGGAATGGAATTGGTAGTTTGGATTGGAGATAGATTTGTAGTAATATTCGTCGTTTGAATAGGATCGACGGTTTGCAGACCAGAATTTGAGAATCAGTCGCTAGAGCAGCAGCAGGTCGATCATGTTTATGCTGAGGGTGGGTGATTGTTTGGGTGATGTTGATGGACGTTCTTGTTTTATAAGGAGTTAGGTAAATGATGAAGCATGGATGAGGTCGTGACGTCTATATGGACAGCTCTAATAGCCCCTCTCAACCAACACCTAGGCAGCCTGATAAGCTGCCTTTGTGAGAGACTACGCAGTCTCACACAGCGCGAAGTAAAGGGAGCTGAGCTGGGCCATCAGCAGCAATCGAAGCTCCAATCACCCGCCATGACAAGTACCTTCCTGCCAGCCAGTTCCCTGAGAGAACCTTCCAAGAAGCAGCTCGCCCATCAGGACGCCGCAAAGCACAGTAACGAAGACGCCGACGTTGAAGGTCATCACGGATAGCATCCTATCAATTTCGATAATTAGTGGATCATTCAATACATGCGCAGACAGCCGCAGATGTGAGCACTCACAAGAAATATCCAATCAAGGCCCTAACACACTCAAGCAACGCTCGTGTCCCGTCCTTCCGGAGACTCCACGTTCCACTGGCCGTCCACGACGGGAGGAGGCATCTCAGTGAAGTCCTATTCCGAGGGCCATCTCTTTTCAGATGTCTCGTGGGTGTGTTTCGTGTTTCAATGTGGTTATTTGAAATTGGTAAAGTATCTTCATCCGGGTCCTCGTCCCCGTGTACGCGCATGTAGTGTGGAAGAGGACTGAGCTTTGCTTTTCGGATGCTTTGTCGTGGATTTACTGGAGCAAGAAGTATAGTTTGAGGGGTAGAAGTATGCTGGGACCAGGATTTCTCGAGTTGGAATTTGAGAGCGCCGAGGAAGCGGTTGAAGATGGCGAGGAGGAATAGAAAGGTTAGCGTGAAGATGTATTGCGTCGTGGTTGAGGTTGTCCAGCCTGTGAAGAGGATTGTGATTTCAGTAGAGGATGAGAACACTGTTGGCATGTTCATGTTCATGTCCATGGTTGCGCTAGGGCGTTCACTTGAGTGTGAGTACGAGTCGGAGTTTTAAGGTGAGTCCACTGCGTTGTATTAATCCATGTTTGGGATGATCAAGAGTCGGAAGCCTGTAGGCAACAAGCGAGGGGAGGAGATTAGACAAGTGTTTTTCGCTCTTACGACTTTAGATGAAAGGTGTTGTGTTCATCTAATCATATTACCCTGCATAAGCTAAATGTTCTCAAATAAGGTCACGGCAGCATACAAGCGCAAATCCGCTCATCTCCACATGAAATGTCTCAAACGATGTTACCTCCCCATTTGGGGAACTATAAAAAGAAGAAATTGTAAAAAGAAGTCTCGGAGTCTTGCTTTTCAAAAAAAAAATATATTGCAAGTCAGTTCATTCATTGACTTCAGGTCTAATCATATTTCACAGGGGAAGAAGACTGGAACACGCCAAAGCAGCGGCCCTCTAAGCAAACAGTGATTAAAAAGAGTCTGGGAAAATTCATAAATGGACCACCATGAGCCCGGCACTTTCACCTCTTATCATATCATGTCTGTCTGTTGCTCACCAAGCCAAAGCGCGCATACAGATACAGGACATGCACATGCGAACGATCGTGGATATAGAGTCAGAGACAGAAAAGAAGCTCAGAAATCGAAGATCTCATGAACGGCCATACCGCGTCTTTCCGAAAGAGAAAGGCACGTAGCGGTACTTAATCATGTGCTGGATTTGTCGTCGCACTGGAAAAAAGTGTCAAGTTAGAGAGAAGTCCACAGCAAAAATGATACAGGCATCGTATCGAATTCCGAACAAAAGGGGGAAACATACTCGTCAGCACAAACAGAATGATCCAGTAAACAACCAGCACCGGCCAGAAGACGGGGATATCGAATACGGCGAGCCAGGAGCAAACGAAGCCAATGGCGATGGCGCGAGTGGCGGAGTGCCAGAACTTGAACTCTGGGAGACGGCGGATGAAGGGCCGGAACTCCTCGTCCTTCTTGGTAGGGAGGCTGGGGGATCCGGCGTCACCGTCCTCGAGACCCTCGTCCTGGGTGAGGGAGGGGTCGAACTTGGGAGTGAGGAAAGCGAGGAAGAGGTTCAGGAGATAGATGCCGAGTGTATAGGCGACTGTGATTTAAAATTGGAGCGTTAGCGGTTTGTTTATGCAGATGTTCCCAGCAGTGTAGATGAATGGCTTTCACGTGTTGGTGTTGAAGCGCATCATTTTCGCTCTGCTGATTCCATTTTCAGAGGCTTGATCGAGTCATACCGATATACCAGCCCTGCGCGAGGAAAATGCGCAGGAAGAAGAAGAACAGGAGCACGCCGGAACCAACCCAGCGGTAGGTTGTGTACGGAGTCGAGGCATCGAGGTAGGCTTGGTAGTGCTGCGATTGACGTGTTAGCATATTGATCAGACTGTTTCAACTGATTTCAAGGATGAAGGATCCAAAGAAATTGCGCAATGCCTTTGCCCCTCACGAGATACTCACTCGAGTCAGTCTAGAGGTGTGCGCGGACACGGCTGTGAAGGGCGACTGATCGGGCTCAGGGACATCCATGATGAAGATATTAGGGGAAATGGGCAAAGCACAGGGCTAGACCACCGAAAGAAAGAAAGGAGAGAGGGAAAGGCAAAGGAAAAGCAGTGATTAAGATAAGCTGCTGAAACCAGACATTCCAGGACAGGCACTGCGCTTCCTTCAGGACAGAAAAGTGTCCACTGCACACAGGCCAATCAGATTAGAGATGAGTCACCAGCCACTCAGGTGCACGTGACATGGGGCAAAGTCAATAGTATGTGGCAGTGTAGTGACATAAGACGGACTAAAAGGGTTTAGGCACTTCACGTGTACCTCGGGACGGTTAACTTCGGCGTTCGGTCGGTCGCGGGGGAAACGGGCCATCTATGATGGTATCGCGTAGCTACTCTCTGTTTTCTCTGCATAAATCAATCTCAATTATCTGAACAAAAGTAATTGTCTTTTTCTTCACAGATCACAATGTTTGCCCGTCAATGCACTCGTCTGGCCACTTCTCGGACATCGGTCCCCTTGACTTCCTACCTAGCCCGAGTCCGGGGTTATTCTTCAGCTACTGGTAGCTACGAGCACATCCTCACTTCGACCCCCAAGCCCGGCGTGGGATTGAGTATGTAACATAGTCAATATGCTACAGGGCCAATTCTCATTGCTATTATAGTTACCCTTAACCGCCCCAAGGCTCTCAACGCACTATGCACTCCCTTGTTCAAGGAGCTTAATGAGGCCCTGAGCAACTACGACAATGACAAGAGCATCGGCGCAATCATTATCACAGGAAGCGAGAAGGCCTTTGCCGGTATGTACATGCCCTGTGGACTCTCTTCACTGCCCATATCTCTTCCAGCCATTCCCTCACCCTAACCCCAATATACATCAACAATATTAACCCAACAAACCCACCACAGCCGGCGCCGACATCAAAGAAATGGCCCCTCTAAGCTTCTCCGCCGCCTACAGCGAGAATTTCATCGCTCCCTGGTCCCACCTCGCCACCTCCATCCGCACCCCAGTCATCGCCGCCGTCTCCGGCTACGCCCTCGGCGGCGGCTGCGAGCTAGCCCTGATGTGCGACATCCTGTACTGCTCCGAAACCGCCACCTTCGGCCAGCCAGAGATCAAGCTAGGCACGATCCCCGGCGCAGGTGGATCCCAGCGCCTGACCCGTGCGGTCGGCAAGAGCAAGGCCATGGAGCTTATCCTTACTGGAAAGAACTTCAGCGGTAAAGAGGCTGGTGAGTGGGGTGTCGCGGCGAAGGTTGTGCCGGGTGGTAAGGAGGAGTTGCTTGAGCAGGCCTATAAGACGGCCGAGACTATTGCCAGCTATAGCCGTGTGGCTGTTGTTGCTGGGAAGGAGGTTGTTAATAAGAGCCAGGAGTTGTCGCTTAAGGAGGGTGTTGAGTATGAGAGACGGTTGTTCCATGCACTCTTTGGGAGTAAGGATCAGAAGATTGGTGAGTTGGCACTTTGGTCTGCTGAGTGAGTGGGTCTGAGTTGGGGTTTGCTAACGATTATTCTAGGTATGACTGCCTTTGCGGAAAAGAAGAAGGCTGAGTGGTCCCATGAATAGATTATGGGCGGAGCAAACTCATTTGGAATGAAGAAGCTGGCTTTTTTTCATCGGCTGCCTGTAATTCACGATGCTGGAGCTGTAGAATAGAGAACTTGTTTATAGGACATACGTAGAGCAGTATCATCTGCAGCCTCATATTCAGGCGCCTCATCTATGTTCGTCTCATCTTCTGGATAAGCATTCCGGTTAGTTAACCACCCAGGGAGGAATACGGAGGAAAAGGGGCTTTCAGTATCAAAGGGGAAATGGAGATATGAAAGAATTGAAGACTTCATGTTACATTTTGTATTTGGCCATAATGTGAAGATATTAGATTAATGCTATTTGCTGAAAATGCTATGTACATGCAAGAGTGCCTATGAATTTCGGGCCCAGAAGCAGAATTAGTCGTAAACATAAGACACATCGCATCATATCGAACCGTGATTTTTCTCCAATTGGCTTTCATCGGTTCGGTTGTTCTTCTCCGCCCGGTAATCATCAATGACACGGCCCTCAATGGTCTCGTCGAACACGTCCACCTGGGTCGTCGCAAACTTGCGAGCGCTGACACCGCGCTCAAAGAGCAGGTCAAGCTCGGCGAACGAGCGGCCACGAGGCTCGGGGACGCGGAAGTACGTGTAGATGATGCACAAGAAGCAGATGCCACCCCAGAAGAAACCGGCGTAATTGCCCCAGTTCCAGGCGCCGGGGTTCAGCATGTAAGGGGTCAAAACGCCGCAGACGATAGCGACGATGTTGTACAGGTTGCGGCCGAGCACAACTGTTTTGATTTGCAGTCGGCGGGTGGAGAGCTCGGCGACAAGGGAGAAGCAGACCGTGCCAACGGTCAGCTGGTAGAATAGGGCCCAAATCAACATCATGGACCCCGTGGCCAGGGAGCTTTGGTTTTTGTGGTCTTTAGGAACAAGGCCAAGGAAACCCATGACCAATAGCATGGTGCACAGACCACACAGACCGTACAGATACAACGTCCGTCGGCCAATTCCGAGTGTCATAAGGAACCATGATCCAAAAACACCAACCATGTTGATGCCGTATTGACCCATGGCAAAGGCGTAAGAGTTAGCGGAGTCTAACCCAGCCTGTTTTAAAAAGTAGGTCGAATAGTTGGAAAAGGAGTTTCCACTAAGATTTTGGATGGCCCAGACCATGCACACAATCTCCGTGCGGCGGAGATCGGTACCCCGGAAGCAGTCCAAGTAGCTAGCGCCCTTGGTGATTTTTTCTTCCAGAGCGGTGGTGTGAACCATCATAGCGACGGTCTCATCGGGATCGAAATCTCCATCCTGACCCTGACTTTTGGTGGTCAACCGCACAAGGGACCGTTTCGCATCTTCGGTACGGCCTTTCCGAACCAGCCACCATGGGGATTCGGGCGCAAGCCAGATACCAATGAAGAGTGGCAGCGGCCACATCCATTGCAGTCCGTATGGAATCCGGTAGGCCCATTCGTCGTTCCTGTTCAACATTCCTTTGATCACACCGATGCCAATAAGCTGGCCAAGACCCCAGCAGAAATTGACATAGGTCGTCAAATACCCTCGCAGCGCCACGGGACACACCTCCGAGGCGTAGGTAATCGTCAAAGTTTGGAAGACACCCCAGGGGATACCGCAGAGAATCTCCGCTGCGAGCAGGGCTTGCACATTCTGGGCCGTGAAGAAGATTGACGTCCAGGCACTAACAAGTATAAGGCAGGCCATAATCGTGTATCGGTAACCGAATCGTTCCGAAGCCCAGCCGTTGATGAATAGACCGATGATCTCGCCGCAGTAGGCACCGTTGCTCAGACCTGCTTGCCACTGTACATCCCGAGAATTGTTAGTTTCTTCATCCCGCAACGAGGCAAATCCACCTCACTCCAAGAGATGGAGAAATGGCCACCGCCGGAATTGGTTGAACTTACCGCTGCGGATACTTCATATGAGCCATCGGCGATCATCTCACCATACTTGCGATTGAATTGTGGGAAGGCATAGAAGTTGTTGACCAAACTAATATCGTAACCCTCCATAGCAATGCAAGTAGAGATGAGCACGCTCCAAAGAACTGCCTTAGGGTATAGCCGGATACCCTGCATTAAGGTCATAGACTGTTCCTTCTCTGTGGCTGCCTTTGCATTTTGAATGACCTTGGTCATGGACGAGTCCGAGGCCGGTCCTGCGGTCGAAGAGTAACCATATTCGGGAAGGCCATCATCCACCGGCGTGATGGCATCGGAGGCCTTGGGTTCGGCCATGTTGGATAGGCGGAGTAACCAAAGTCACTGGGAGGAAATTGGGGAGTTGTGTCGAACAACTTTCAATATGGGTTTGAAAGTTGACCTGGTTCGGATGTCAGGGGAAGAAAAATCAAAGTACCCACAATGCTGAGAACATTGCACGCGAGCACTCCTGGGCGGCGAAAGTCCCCTTGACGTCTACCGAGGGTAAGTGAATACTGCGGCAGAGGCAAAAGGGCTAGACAGAATGAGGATAAAAGCCAATGGTCCCAATTGGCGGGGGAACGGGGGATTTGGGCTCGATGCCTCCAAACGCAAATTTTCGCGGGATGGGAAGCTTGGCGGGGCCCGGATGGGGCAAGTGATGGGTCATGGTGACAGTGAACCAGATTATTTGATGTTTGATGGGCGCTATGTTCGGCTTTTGTTACTCTGGGTATAATAATTGCTGGTCATATAATTTGGAAATTATACCCCGTATACAATTTAGCTGTAGTATACGAAGTACTTTGTGTTACAACCCCCACGTGGGAGAACTATAATTCTCCGGGACCCTTGCAGCAATAAGAATGTACTAGTTACAAAGTATATCCTACTCGGAGTTATAATTATTCTTATTATTTTACATATATTATACTCGGTCGGTAATACTTTATTGTAATAATTTGCATCGGAAAAAAAATAACCGCATATACTCTTGATTTCATCCCATTGCTGATTTACTGTAAACCGGCCAGAAACGGCTATCTTTGACGCTATATTGAATCCTACTGTGATCCCCAAATGTTAAAATATAGATGCTTGCCAGGAGGACGACTTCTTTCTTTGATCAACAATGCTATCCGAACTTTAGGGCTTGGTTCGAGCAACAATGTCCATCTCTCCGTAGAATTCTTTCACGGATCTTCTTTAATCAACCAGATTAATTGTAGTCTCTTTGAACAATGTGTATTGGTCCAATTTGTCTTTCAAAGGCGGATTTGGATTTGAGCATCTATATTTGTCTCTTTGACGACTCGATTAATTATAGTCCTTCACTTCTTTCAAACGTTGCTTGGCCACTATAATAAGGCATTTTCTTACAATCTCATGGTTTCATTATTAATAGCCTCTAAGATCTCCTAATATATAAGATACAATCCGTTTCTTGTACACTATTCTCAACATTTCAATATCAAGAACAATCTGTTTTCTAACAGCAACCAGTCCGTTAACACCAATTTCTCACTAGTAGCCCATTGACTAACCACAGCTAGTAAGTAAAACAATAGCCCCTACAGTTAAATGGTCCCAAGAGCTAACCATACATACAGAGATGCCACGCAGTCTTCGTTCCGGGAATACCTACCCTTCTCCTCTCCCCCCACCACCACGTCCTATCCGTATCCTAGCCGGCAAGGTAACCAGAAACCGGGACTATGAGCTCCTAGGTAGCATGAACATCCCCATGGGCCTCGCACGCAAGAAGGTTGCTGAATGCCATCTCGAATTTATAGATGTCGGGCCTCAAGACCCAGAATATCCTAAGGACCCAAAGCGAAATAACCATTGCATGCTCCGACTCACGTTCTTACATCAACTGCAAGACGATACCCCATACGCGCCTATTGGCACCAGGGGAGTTATCCTGGACTTGGAAGGTGTGGAACAACACGAATTCACAACTTCATCTGAGCTAACGATGAGTACTTTCGGGTACGAAGGCCCGCATCAGAGGTGGCTCCACGTTGTCAATCTACGTATGGGCGGCGAGAGGACAGTTGGGGATGCTGTTAGGATCATTCGAGATTCTGGTTTGGTGCCTTGTCGCTTTAATCACTCAAACGAGGACTTGGTTGGCTGTAGAGATTTTGTGTGAGTTTTGTTCTGTTTCTGGTATGCTTTGGGTCATATGCTAATCTACAACTATTGACAGATCGCAATTGATTCATCGATTGAATAGGAACAGGTTTTTAAGGCTTCCGGCTGATGCTACCACAAGGGTTTTTGACAAGTTCAACTACTATTATAATATGGATGATGACCCTGCCCTCAATCATACTTCCAATCCTGTGGAGTATGCTCTCTTTAGAGAGGCATACCAGCATGTGGCCATCGATGGGATCAATTATACTGGAACGCGTGAGTTGCCCTGGATATATTCCCCCCTTGTTCGTGAAATTGAATGCTAACGAAATGTTGATAGGCCATTTCTTGGAGGAGTAAAGAAGAAATTGAAACAAAAGAACAAAAACATTGACCCTATAATATAAAAGCCATGGATGATACGTCCCTGCTAGTCGATGGCTTAGTGTTCATTGGGAACAGGGCAGCTTCTAGGCAGGATTGTGAAAGGCTAACTCTCAAAGTACAGTGGAAGTGTTACTATTTATAATATTGCGTTCAAGTCATTTGTTGTCTTCATCTGATTTAGAGGATACGCTCATAAATTTGGAAAGAAGATATCAACATTTCTTTTAGCTATTTACGAAGCATTCGGTTAATTCCTACTAGAACCCCAAGATGATACCAAAATATAATACAATAATTCATAAAATCGTATTCAAGTCGCTGAGGTAGCTAAATGCAGTGATATGGAGTGAATCCACGATTATTCCGAGTATGAAAAGCACAAGTAAGGAAAACCAAAACTACAAACGCGCTGGCGGGGCACCGGTAATATGAGCCTCCGTAGCAGACTGAATGCGAGCACCAAGATCCGGGTTAACACGACGGAACATCTCGTAAGTAGCCTTGCGGACACGCTCATCAGCGCCGCATAGGTGACCAGAGATGTTGCCGACAAAGTTCTCCTGCTGGCCGGGGGTACGACCAAGGACCTGCCACAGGCCGTTAGCCTGGACGTAGTCCTCGGATGTCACAGGGTACTGCTCGGCGATGACAGCGCCGGACCATTTCTCGTGTTCCTGGCTAGCCTTGACGGGCTTGTGGGCGAGGGGGCGGAAGGTAGAGGGGTAGTTAGGGTTGGCGCCGTAGTTACCGTTGACGTTCATGTAGCCATCGCGGTGTGAGGGGTTGAAGGCTTTGAGCGGGCAGTTGACGGGGATCTGCTCGTAGTTGCCGCCCAAGCGGTGGCGGTGCGTGTCGGGGTAGGAGAAGAGACGGGACTGAAGGACAGGGTCGGCGGAGGGCTCGGCACCGGGGACCATGTGGGAGGGGGAGAAGGCGGCTTGTTCGATCTCCGCGAAGTAGTTCTGCGGGTTCTTGTTTAAGGTGAAGCGGCCGAAACGGCGCAGAGGCACCTCGTTCTGGGGCCAGACTTTGGTCAGGTCGAAGACGTTCCAGCGGAACTTCTCGGCCTGCTCGGGGCTCAGAACTTGCACGTAGCAGGTCCAGGAAGGGTTCTCGCCGCGCTGGATGGCCTCGAACAGGTCCTGGGTGTGCCAGTCGGGGTTCTCGGCGGACAGCTTGGCCGCCTCATCGTTGGTGAAGGTCTTGTTACCCTGGTCGGTCTTGCAGTGGATCTGGACGTAGTTGAAGGTACCATCTGGCTTGATCCACTTGTAAGTGTGGCCGGAGTAGCCGTTCATGTGACGGTAGGAGTATGGGGTACCGCGGTCACTGAAGAGGTGCATCACCTGGTGGACGGCCTCGTGGTGGGTGGAGAGGTAATCCCAGAACATGGTGGCATCCTTAAGGTTGGTCTGCGGGTTGCGCTTCTGGGTGTGGATGAAGATGGGGAATTTAGCAGGGTCGCGTAGGAAGAAAACCGGGGTGTTGTTGAACACCCAATCCCAGTTGCCCTCCTCCGTGTAGAACTTCATGGCGAATCCGCGGGGATCACGGGCACTGTCCGGGGATCCCTTCTCACCACCGACGGTCGAGAAGCGGGTGAGCATCTTGGTCTTCTTGCCGACACCCTTGAGCATATCAATGATGGTCTATGCGTTATTAGGCTCATGTTCTCTGCGGAATTATAGAACCTGCACAGATGGTACATACCAGATCGCTAATATCATCAGTGACCTCAAACTCGCCGTAGGCGCCAGCACCCTTGGCGTGAACCACGCGCTCAGGAATGCGCTCACGGTCGAAGTGTGCCAGGAGATCGATCAGGTGGAAATCCTGCATCAGAAGAGGGCCGTTGGGCCCAATGCGCTGAGCAGCCTGGGGGTCCATGACCTATATGTATATGGTTAGACCGTGCGATTCAGGAGGAAGTAAGTGAGCTGGGCGTACTGGGCAGCCGTTGGAGGCCGTGTAGACCGGAGTCTCATTGTAGCGGTAGGTTTCTGCGAAAGAGACGGCATTAGTTGGTGTTCTGGGCTTTCACGGAGTAAAACCTACTAGGCTCGCTATCTTGACCCATGATGGCAGATTGTCAATGGGGAAGAGAGAAAAATCCCGGGAGCACTCTGGTTTATATAGGGAAAAAAAGAGCCTTGTGGGGAGCCCATGGAAAAGTTCAATGAAGCCCATGGCCCCACCAGCTTTTGATATGGAAAATCATCCACTGTAATTTGGTACGTAATGGCCTCTCGATATCAGCAAATATCACTATATTGATGTATAATAAATATCTACAAATGCCAGGCCTCTGACGTCCACTGGTGTGCATGCAGAATGATCGATATCCAATCGCAAAACGGGCCGATGTCATCCTATTGGGTCCACTCCCGGGAATTGGGGTAAAAATGGGACAATATGTACCTATGTAGGTAGGTTTGTAAATGGACTGTGGCTAGACCGAGAGAGAGAGACATTCCGGGGAGGTCAAGTTCTCCCAATTTAGCAGTTCGATCCGAGATCGGCAAGCCCTGGCTTCCAACCCCGAAGACACGGGCCTTATAGACTTGTTGAGGTGTAGACAAGTCGGGCAACCACACAGTTTTATATCCAACGAATTCATTGAACTATCTAATTGTCATAGTATGACAGCAACCAAAATCCTCCAAGGGTCAGTCCCTCCAAGGTGTTGCGCGAGGCATTAGTTGGCTAATTCCACCTGTGCCTCGACAAAAGAACCCCGAATAGTGCTTCCCTTGGAATTAATCCAAAAAATAACCAAAAACTCTTAGTCAAGTCGTGCTCGTATAGAGCTGTAGAAAGAAGAAGAAAAAAAAAACTGAAACAAATGCTCGCTCGATGCGCCAATCGTATATCTTATCTTGTATATCGCAGGGAAATGAAAACCCAAAAGCAAATTGAGGTGTGAACAAGTCATAAAAGTGGGTGGGTATATCTAGCGCTTGCGGCTTCTCAAGAGCCTACAGATCAATCGAAAGAGTATGCTCTAAGTGCATGCTTGGGAAGGAATGGGGGTTAGCTGGTAGGAGCGGGCGCCAAGGTGATCGCAGGCGTGTTAGTGGACTCATCCCAACATCCCCAGATCTTTCCCGGGCTATGACAAGTTGCGGAAGTGGGCGAGGTAGAATTGGTGATAGTCGTAGCTACCGTGCTCGTTCCGTCACGGCAGCCAAACCACCCTGGGTCGTGACAGCTGGTCGTTGCAGTCACCGTGGGAAAAGTGGTAGTCACTGTGGGTGCTGGTGTGGCTGTTGTGGTAGTAGGATCATTGCACCCGAACCAACCAGGAGTCATGCATGTCGTAGTAGTGGCAGTGTTTGTCGGTGAAGTCGTAGTCGTAGTGGTAGCGGTTGTGCTTTCATCCAGACAGCCCCACCACCCGGGGGTCTTGCACGTAGAAGTTCTGGAGGGAGATGTGGTAGTGGTGGTAGTTGTAGTAGTTGTGACCTCAGAACCGTTACTTCGGAAGAACTTCCAGAGTTCACAGTCGAAGCATTCTTCCTCTGCGACACATGAGGGGACACTGTCGTATTTCAAAATAACATCAGATATCACGTTCTCAATCTTGTGGGTTCCAAGACCGACACGCCAGCCCTTGTCTGCCACAGTGTCATACGTGCACACCTGGCCGGTGTGACATGCTGACTCCAATGCATAGCCGCCCCATGTACAGATAGAGTTGATTCCATTGCAGGTTCCCATATATATTGGGTCTGCTGTATGTCCAAAGTGGTAGGCTCCAGTGAACTGTCGCGACTGTGGAAACCGTGAGTCATAGCCCGGCGGACTTGGGAGGCCAAGTCGAGCTGCGGGTAATGCTTCTGGGACGGCCTCGAAAGTGACCACAGGCAACCCAAACGTTAATCCAACCAGACTTGTCATTGCACCACCCAGCGAATGGCCTGTCATCCAAATATTTGCATCCGGGTAGAGCTCGGTCACGTTAGAGTATAGGTCGATCGCTGCCCGGTAATAACGGTTTTCGTCAGTCATGGACTCGACGATGCATGTCAGATTTGCCGTGAATGTAGCACTCTGGCAATCGCAGGATTGTCTCCATAGATATGAGCCTCCTTGGCCGCAGCAACAACTAAAGAATAGATTATCGTTGACTTTATCGTTTGTTGTGGTACCGGCGCCATCAAAAAGAGCGGGCGAAGTGCCCTTCAGAGAAATGACAACAGTGGCGTTTGTCTTATCGGAGTAGATGTGCCCTCTCAGTCCATCCTTTTGCCAACCAAAGCTCCCCGAATAGTTGAATCTGCCATTGATAGTGTGCCACTGTCCTGTTCCAGGCTCCTCAATATAGTCATTTGCAGTCATTTGTGCAAATGTCAAGATGGTCTGCTTGTTTGTAATATTCGGTCCAGGCAATGTGTCCATGACCCATTCTAGTGGAGAGACGGCCGCAAAGCCCGAAGACTGCGCAGCTGCCAAGTGACCTTGAATCACCGGGAGTCGCCGATCGGCTAGCCGTTGTATTGTGAGAGGACTGGATGAAGCAAAAAGAGAGGACTCTGATGCAATATATTCTTCTTCGTAGCCATCTTCGGATACAGTTCGAAGGCGAGTGTCTGGCTTGACGTCGAGTCTCGCATGAAGGTCGGGTTGTTCATAGGTACCTCGGTGAAAGATATGGCGCAGAGACTATTAACGGTCATTACAAGTCATCTAGGGTAACACAACTTGCGTAGGGTATCTTACAAACTCATGGGTGTTTGGTGTAGCCTCGGCCCCATTCAAAGGTATCTGGGGCGGGATGATGGGAACTTGTTGAGAGGGCGGATAGTAGCCTGAGGCGGAGGCAGCACCTGACAATACTGCAGCCGATAATAATAGGCTATGGACGCTAAGTTCAAACCGTGAACGTTTTCGAGGCATGATGGGGGTGATGATGAGGTTCAAGATCAAGGAGAGGTGAGTCTATCGCGGTTATCGGCGAGTCACTTATCAAGTGACGCAGTGCGGAGAGCGATCCGCACGTGATGAGCACCCCCGTGACGTGACGCGATATCGTGTGAATCCGTCAATTTGGTGTCTTCTGAAATGATCACCGGGACAGTAGTACGCTGCTGCTGATTATTAGCTGCAGTATACTTCGTGCTTGGTACGGAGTACTTCCGATCGCTTTACGCCTGGACAACAGGCTCAGGCTAAGACTGGGGGGCTCTCAGACGGGGATCGGCACAGCCTATCAGCTGCACCCGGGAGCGGAGACGCGCAATTAGTGCCTTATAGGACCCCATCGCCCCTGGCCTTAAAAATGTCTGGCCCCTCTGAAAGTAGCCCTCAGCCTCATTTGCATTTAGCACGGTCATTCACCAGAATGGGTGGCTCGGATGTGAAATCTCCCACGCTTGAACAAGATTCCAAAACAGCACCTCTGTCATCACCTGTCAATAATGAGGGGCAGGAAAATGGACCTGACTTATTCGAAAGACGGGGCTCCGCAGATTCTGGCACAGCAGGCGAGGCCCAGACAGATGATGGCTTTGTGCTTTCGCGAAGCGTACAAGATCCCTCGGAGGAGCTACCGATCGAACTAATCAGCCTGGCAGATCGGTAAGTGTGGCAATATTGGTGCCCATGCTTCAACATTTTATTCTGACATCCATTTTCCCAATAGTTTCGTGAATTCCCTGAGTGCCAAAGTACACAACTCGCCTCCCACGATCGAAAAGATCTCCGAGCTCTTCCAAGTTTTCTACAGTCGCGCCGAATCCCACATTGCCACACATATATCCGCTCTTATAACTCGTATCAACCGGGATATTTCGCCTCAGGTTCCAGCAAAAGCTCCACGAGGAAGCGCACTGTCAAAACTGAGTAGCAAACGCTCTCAAGACGATATCAGGCCAGGGGCTTCAGGTCGCCAAATGTTGACTGCATCCGAAGTAGCGGAAAAGCGACAGGCTCGCAGAGTCCTTGAAAACAAACGGAGTGCACTAGAAGAGGCTGCCGAACGAAGGGTCTGCGAGCTGGTTTATGAGAAACTCTGGAGGCACAAAAGTACATTGGATGATGTGCGGGATGAAAAGTTGCGTTCGAAGACTGCGGCTTTGCTGCTGGTCGGCATTAATCTGAAGGACCTTGGGATCGATATAGACCTTGAAGCAATCGATGAGCAGAAGCAGGATGAGGCGAACGAATTCCTTTGTCAAGCCCGAGAGCATCTTGCGAAGATGAACGATTACAAATACCCCCTCGGAAAGCTTCAGCAGCTCGCGGCGGCGCACAAGGCCATTGTCGACGCTCTTACTAAACTTTTACCGTCTTCCTCTTCTGCAGACGAGATTCTGCCCACGTTGATCTACTCGCTTGTGACGTGCCCTCCGGAAGGGATCAACATTGTCAGCAACTTGGTTTTTATCCAGCGTTTCAGGTCTTCAAACAGAATTGACGGAGAAACGGCCTACTGCTTGACCAATCTAGAGGCCGCAATAAGCTTTTTGGAAAACGTCGATCTTTCCACCCTGCGTGCCGATGAGCTGCAGGATGGCCCTCTGAAAACCCCTAGTGAGACAACGACTCCATCCGCAGACCATGTCGATCCTTTCCGACCTCCCAAGGAGACTACAACCTCGGCTGTGACGACTGTATCTGCATCGCCGGAATTATCAAAACCAGAAATCAAAGAACCCGCCTCCTCTACATTACCCAGGCCTCGACCTTCAGCCACACCGCAGCAACGACGCCTCAGCAATCTTTTCCAACCGCCTTCTAAAGTCCTCGGGGCTGCAAATGATGCTGTGCGCACCACTGCCGACCAAAGCTTGAAGAACATTGGTGCTACATTGGACAGCAGTTTCAACTTTCTGTTTGGCCGTCTGAAAGAAATGCAAAACATCCAAGGACCCGGCCCGGAGGGTAGCGAACCAATACTGCCAAAGACATTGGCTGAAGCTCGCCGTCTAGTGAGCTTGCCGCTCGCCTCTGCCACCAACCAAAACCTGACCCAAGGGGAGCTCGCAGCAATCAACTCTGTTTCCGTGGATGAAAGCACACCCCCACGCAGTAGTTCAAGACTCACAGACCTCTCTAACGGCCCTGCCCCTCGAGACCGGAGTGTAGACAGCACCCGAACCCAGGAGAGCAGTAAAAAGTCCATCACGGCATCACTACGCGAGGATTTTGCATCGAGTTCACCCATCAGCCCCACTCCGTTAGAATCAATGCGAAACTTTGGCAACACACTGAACCCTCTGAACCACTTCCCGGGCATGATGAAGAACTTTGGCCGCAACGCACCAGAGACTCCCAGCGGCAGGTCCGTATCTCCATCTGGGCTGGACAGATTCAAGCCATCACCTGCCTCGACAGACGGCACTGGTGACCCTATCAGCCCGCTCCCCATGCCTTCATCGAAAATCGATCCTCCAATCCAGCGGTTCCTTGAGACACAAGATGCGCGCGATCTCCGGATTGGGGACGTATCTGCTCTACTGGAGGACTATAAGAGACTCGCTGCTGCGCTTCATAAGCCCACTGCCGAGTCTCGATAAGTTTCTATGGTTGGATTACGTTCCTTCGTCTCATCTGCTTCTCATTGACTGCAAGTAGGACATGGAGTATTCTTGCATTATGGATCGATGGCGTTATTATATCTGGTATTCCATTTCATTTGGGCGAATAAACCTTGGGTTAGATAGCATAGCTTTGGCGAGTGAGCTACACATTTTCCATATCATACATCATTTTAGCAAAAATTAACCCTTCAGACCAACATATGAATGCGAACTTGATAAGACCCCACCTAGGACCCCAGCAAATAAACAATAGCATAGAGAAATTAAAAAAATAGAAAGCGTAAAAGGGGTATTGAACATGAACAAATCAAGTCCCGCGGTGGGTAATTCGGGGCATAACACAATTGTCTCAAGCAACATAAGGGTCAATGAAGACCCATGCTGAGCAAGGGGGCTTCCTCACTCATGAGTGGCGTCCACGCAGAACCTCTGCACCGCCGGTTCTCATCTCGGTCAATTTATTCGTCAACTCCAAACTTTGTGTTTCAACTTGGTCATGGCGGCGCTTGACTTCGCCTTCAAACACAGCAGCTGTGCGACGGCGAGCACGCCGTAGGTTCTTCATTTCTGAAAGAAGATGAGTGAAACGGTCGATCATTTGGTCCCCGCAGTCTTCCCATTCATCCATGGTCATGTGGGACAAATAAGTCTGGCGTTCTTCGTCCGTCAGAGCCAACAGATGAGACACGGCATTATTGGGTTCCTGAGTGTCTGGGACAAAAGGTGGCGGGTTTGGTGGCAAGGAAGGTGATTTGACGACGGGTGGAGGAGGGGTGGGGGATTTGTCAAAGGGCTCAGCTTGCAGCTCGGAGAAAGATTTTTGGTAAAGCACTTCTGGGGGGTAGTCTGCTTCAAGTGATCGCTTTTTGGAATGTATGACAGTGTTGCTACGGCCACGACGCGACGGCTCATGCGATTCGTGCACAAAAAACGGATCCTGCATGGTGTGGTCGACGTCTAGGTCGGTCAAACTGGTCATATCAAAGGCATTGGTTGAATGCCCGCCGCTTTCCCGTCGTCCATCCGCGCGTATGGTACGGTCCATGCCATCATCGCTTCCACCCTCGCTATCAGTCTGTTCTTGGAACGACGTAATACTGAGTGTCCTCCCAACATCTGGTGGAGGTTGAGAGGCATGTCGAGTAGGTGATGCATCGAGTTGTTGGTCGAGTTGTTCAAGAAGTGAAGGCTTTGGTGGACTGAAACGTGTCCTAGGTGTTGCTGACGAGCTGTGAGGGAGAACAATCTTCCTGGGCCCAGTAGGAGGAAGCATTTGACCCAATTTCCTCGGCTTAGACTTAGGCTGTGGTTTAGTCTGGGGCTCGGGGTCAGATTCTATAGTAACAGGCTGCCGCGAAGAAGTTCTCTTTCTGCTGGCGGACCAGAAATTCTCCAGGCGCTTGCTCAATGGCTCCTCGGTCGTACGCGGTTTGTGCAACACATGCCAGTCGTGTGCTTCGTCGGGCTTTTCGTTATCCCCGCCATCTCCGCCAAGAGACGAAGTCATTTGGCTTCCAAAGTCATCAAAGTCATCTGAATCAAAGCCGGCTTTCTTCATGGCTTGGTCGCCCAGACCTTCATACCAGTTAGACCCGTAAGTATGCCGTGAAGGCTGGGGCTGGTACATCGATTGTGGATCGGGGTTGGTGTAGGCAGCATTGGTACTTGACGCTGCCTGAGATTTGTTGTCATCAAATCCGTAGACACTAGTCCCCGCCACGGTTGAATCATCAATCGCCTCCACGTCCGTGTCAAACACGTCCCTGTCCCGCTGCATCCCATGCGTAGGAAGATTGCGGGGCTGATTTGGAAATTGAGATGTACCCTGGAATTCTAGCGAGCCAGCTCTACCATTGGCACCAGGAAGACCTGGATCGACCAGCTGGGTGACTGGTACCTCGACTCTGGCTTGTTCTGCACGTTGCTGGCGCGACTGGGTGGCTTGGTCGGGGGCTCCGCGAGCCTGCCCACCTTCTTTGGAGTGGACATAATCGCCAACCCCCATGATATTGTGTAGCTAGCTATTGTAGGGAGGATGAAGAAATGTGGTATTTTTTTCGACGACGCTGAAAGACGACGGGGATCAGTCCACGGTAAGGTTGTTGGGCAAACGCGATATCGCCGCGTAGTCACGTGTCGATAATTTTAAACGTTAGGGCCGCCACGACAGTATGGGGCCTTGAAGCGGCGGTGATCTCCCGACATAAATGCCAAACAACATTTAACTTGTGTGCTTGCCTATATTGTGAATACCACAACCACCTAAGGCCATATATAGGTGTAAATTTTCATGTCTTGTACAACTTGCACTACTTGTATTCCTAACCTTACTAACTATGCTGGGCGGAGACACGTTTTTAGTTATATCTAAGATGCAATTCATTGGGGTATATTGGATAAAAGTTTACATGAGAAGCCCCACAACAGAGGAACATCGAGATCATCTCAACCAGGACCTCAATCAGCAGAATCATCATCAATATGAAGACTCTCCAGATTGTATGCGACACTCCTGCCTCGTTTCTTGGCCTTCTCGAAGAGCTCAATCGACCTTTGGACTTCGGCTGCTTTCTTTTCAGTTGCAAGCCTGTGCTCACGTCTCGCTTCAAGGGAGCCTGGGGTTTCATCCATGAGCATCCGATCGGGGTCGTTGATTTCTTCGAAGTCCGCCGGTAATGATAGTGCAGATAGCAACAGATCACCGATCCACAAACAGATCATGCCTCTGAGCTCCAGCAATTCAGGTGAGTCAGAGTATGGAGGAGACCCTAGGAGCTGATCCATACGCGCAGCAATCTGCTGCGCCTGTTCCAACTCCAGTGCCCTGACTGCTGTTACGGCAGCATCTGTGTTGCTTTGTGACCTCCGACGGTGGCCAAATTCAGATTCTGAATTTTCGTCCTCAGAAAACTCATCAGCCCCTTCTTCTTGGCGAAGAGCGATATCTTTCCTAGTCGCCTTGCTTTCTTCCTGGGTCATATACACCCAAAGCCCGAACATTGCAGGGTAGAAGTGTAAAGAAGAAATAGACTGTGGTGAAGATTTCATGAATGGATAGTTGAGAATAAGTCGTTCATAATATTCTTTGGCTGCCGCAAAGCCCTTGGTGGTAAAGTTTACGGTTGTGCTCTCCAGCGCATTCGGCACCTTGGTGGTACCAGGATTGGCTGGTTTTTTCTGTTCGTCACGCCGCAGCAAGATTTCAGCGCCTATGCCCCACCTTGCTTCGTTACGGACGTCCATTCCAAAGCCTCTGTAATCTTCACGCAAGATCAAGCCCCAAGCTCGTCCGGCTCGAACATAGTCACCTTGGAGCATACATCGATGTAAAATGGCTGTCAATACACCCAGATGTTGGAAGCGAATGTTGCCTTGCTGGGCAGACTGAGGAGGGTAGATTGGAGGTGATAATGCCGCCAAGTCTTTGAGGTGGCGTGAGGTAGTCTCTCTTCTCAATTGCTCATCCTTATCTGCTTCATGGGGGAAATGGCCTTTCGGCAATTCTTGGTTGGATGGGAAACCGGCAATTCGGTACTGATGGGATTCATTCGGCGTCAATACCAAGGGAGGCCCAGCGGGCTCAGATTCCGTAGCCGAGGCGATATCAGTTGTTTCTTCGCCATCCAAATCGCTTTCACTCCAACCCACACTCTTTTTGCGTTTCTGGCGGTCATATTGAGATACGCGAGTGCCAGGCGGCTGGAGCCAAGGCGGTAGCGGTAGAGAAAAAACCGAAGACGACGGCGCAGCCATATGCTCAAGACGGGGCGTATCCCATGTGCCGCCAAAGAAAATAAGAGCCGTAACAGTCTGTATTAGGGCCTAGGCTATGATTGCCCCAATTGGTGGTTGCGCATTTGTCAGAGAGACGGGTGGTGGAACATGACGGAATGAAGATCTGGTGCCTCAGGCATCCAAGTCGAAGCAAAGCAGACAAACATCATCACTTATCGTCCTCTATCAATTGCTTTGCTTTGATGTGACTCCTCTACTCCTCCTTTTCCATTTCCTCTAGTTGCCCCTTTTCATTTTGCCCAGCGCTCTTTCACCTCCGTTTCGAGATTGCCACTCGCTGGCTGTTCTTTTCTGGGCGTGGTTGCCATAGCTCCCCGAGATTCAAGGCTCGGCGGTTATACCGCTCGGAGTGTGGGCTGTGCCTGGACTCGTCAGACAGTTTGAGACCTCTGGCCGTTGTTGCTCGTATTGGGCAGTGAAATTGTCTTACGCGTTTCGTACCTGTCGCAAATAACCCGGTAACCGCCAACTCCCTGTCTGCTCTCCACTCCTTTGTTCTAAAGGTCCGACACACGGCTTCTTCAGAACCACCACCGAGAACCAACTGCATCGACCCTGTCAGCTAGAGCAAGAAATTAATACCTGCTTCATACATCATTCAAATACTTTTGCTTGTTACATCCATCTCCTAGGTTCAACCCAAGATCGATACGGTCGCCACTACTAGTCATATGGTCCTCGCGTGGCAATGAACAGTCGTTGACACTCTGCATCACTCCAACGGTCACAACTCTGTTACTATGGGACAGTCCTCTTCTACGCAACGTGATCCATCCAACACTGGCTATCCGGCACACCTTGCACCATTCCCGATACCGCGTGGCCCTAACACAAGGGATGAAAATATGAATCATAGACAGGCGGCTGAACACAACGGAGAGGGTGGTTTGCCACCCCGGACAGACATAAACACACACTCCAGGAGCGACCAAGATATGGCATCCGACCGGCCAGGCCGGTTCTCCGCTGGGGGTTCGCAACCCATGCGGAGTATCGAGGAGGAGGACGGGCCCGAATATGAGCTCCCACCCCGCGAATTCCGCACCGCGGCATTTGCTCGAATGGCAGCCCGAAGACAATCGACCATGTCAAGGCTGGGCTCTAGGCTTCTTCCCAATTCAGTCATTCGTGGACTTCTCAACAGTCAAGAAGAGACCCCGGCAGAGGGACATGCACATCGACATGGCCTAGTTCCTATGCCCATTCCAAGATCCGAGACTGCTCACACATCCGGTCGGTTTAGTGCGTTCAATTCACTCAGCTCCAGAGGAATTACTCGGCGCCGATCTGCTCGTGCCCCATATTTTATTCCACCTCGCGCGGAGTCTGCTGGAATTCCAGATGCACCAGCAAACCCGACATACATCGACTCTCCATCTCAGATACCCGAGCCCACAAGAGCATCCTGGCGTCGTAGTGTCAGGCTGCAGCGCATGCGCCATTCGATTTCATCTCCCATTTCTCACATGTTCGGCCAGCCACACTCAGATTTGCGGCCTCACGAAAGCCCGGAATATCAAATGTCAGATCCCTTATTTGATGACAGGGCTATGGACACGCGTCTGGACTTCGGCGAACCGCCTCATGAACTTGATTCAGTAGAACCAGCCATCCAGGCTGGGAGGCCGGCAGCTGGTTCATCTCCCGCCCCGCCGAGTCCTGCTTTGATGCGCCGATTGCCTGGGATCATTCGAGCAAGATCATCCAGAGTCCTGCGGCGAGAGGAGCAAACACCTCTGTCAAGGGTTCTTCAGCTTGCCGCATCCGCAATTGCAGCTCAGCTATCTGGCACTGCCGGTCCTGCGTTGCCTAATATCCAGGCATTGGGCAATGATGGATTAGATGGCTCGTTGGAGAATTTCATCCAGAGTTTGCAGCACGCGACTTCTGCGCAAGCTCAACCGACTGCAACAGGAGAGGGCCCGAGCAACAATGCAAATGGAGCACCCTCACATCCCGTCAATTTCTTGCGTGTGTTCCGATTTGCCAATTCAGAATCTCCCACAGGCCCAGGCGCTTCAGGACAGAGCGCGAATGGTGCCGGCGACCGTGGAACCCAAACTGATGGAATGGACATAGACGAGCCTTCTGAAGGCGAAGGACGAACAGTTACACTAGTTGTCGTTGGAGTTCGGTCCGTCCCGGCTGGAAACGGAGGTAATACTGAACAGCAACAGCACGCCAGTCCGGGCCCCGGTCTAGATGCTTTGCTTGGTCTACCATTTTTGCCACCAAATACTATCCCACGGCCTCCGGGTGCCACTGGTGAACCTACCCAACCGGGCGATGTGCGATCTAGATTGAATCTTCCTAGGCAACCAGGTCATGCAGGACACGCCCCCGCCGGAGCTACAGAATTTCCACGCCCGTCGGTCCCCAATACCTTCAGAAGAATGTCTGATGCCGGGCCCCGTGCTGCATTCCCATCCTACCATCCCTCCGGTTTCTCAGAAAGCCCCCCGGGACCGCACCCACCTCCATCAACCCCAGCTGAACAAGGAATGTCTGCTTTGTCCTCCGGCACTTCGACTCCGAGCCGTAGACCATCCTCTGCTTCAGCAATTGCTCCAGATATTCTACCCCATCTTCATGAAGGCCAGGCAATGCAACCGACGGCGGAGACGTTGGAAGAGCCTATTGCATTCAATACCGCTCGTCAGCGACGCCGAAGTGATTCTGAGTATGCTCGTCATCGGGCCCTCGGCTCTGGTGCTGTTCGACGCAATGGCATGGTTGAACCCGATCAACCCCCACCAAGCGGAGGTCGCAGTTGGTTAATCTATGTTGTTGGAACCAACCTCTCTGAAAACCACCCGGCTTTGACGACACCAAGCCTTTTCACCGATGTAGGAATGCCCTACTGGCCTTTATCAGGAATCTGCTGACTAATGATTAAACAGAACCCGACCTACGAGGATATGATCCTGCTTTCATCACTGTTGGGTCCAGCTAAACCCCCCGTCGCCTCTCAAACCGACGTCAACTCCGCCGGCGGACTATTCCGTCTTGTTGAGTATGCAGGTTCATTGGTCGCCGAAGCCGTGGAAGGCGCTGGCGCCATTCAAATCCAAGATGGAGAGCGCTGTTTAATCTGCCTGAGTGATTATGAGGTGGCCGAGGAAGTTCGAGAGTTGGGTAAATGCAAACATGTCTTCCACAAGGACTGCATAGACCAGGTTTGTTGCTCTCGCCCCTTTATTTCAATCTATTCGATTGCTGACCGTTACGTCGTAGTGGTTAACCACCGGGAGAAACTCTTGCCCTCTGTGCCGAGGTCAAGGCGTCAACGAAACCCCCCAGCAACGACTCCAACACCGACAACCCGGCACCCAATCCTGCTCCTGCTCCTGCTCCTGCTCCTGCTCCTGCTCCCGCTCCCGCTCCCGCTCCCGCTCCAGATGGCACAGCCGTCTGACCCCTTCCACCAAGCATGGGCAAACCAGCCATGTGAGCAACTCCCAACTCTGACTTTTGAATCCTTCTCTACTTTTAGCTTTAGCATGCAGCGTGTGCTCAGAACCTTTAACGGTTTTTTTTTTCCCATGGATATCCCCTTTGCATTTCGTTTCTGTGCATCGACTTTAGGTGCTTTTATCATGTTGGGTTATTGAATATTTGTTCTCGGGGCCCAGACACAAGGAACTCTCCTCTTGGAAGACAACTCGGATTTTGAGCCCCGAGAATGTTAGTCTTCACGTCTATCAATTCTTGGTCTTCGTTGTTTGGTGTATTATTGTAGATTTACATCCTGACTGGCCTTACCCATGGCTCTATCTGGCCAGGAAAAGGTTCACATACTGAAATACATGTACAAACACCATAAGGCTATTGATGCAACCAGCCTTAGATATTTTGTTATCATAATTATTGCCGTTGATGTTCCCCTTATACATAGTAGTATCTATCTATAGTCCTCCGGGGCCCGCTGCCCCGCGGCTGACTTAGGTAATCCAAAAAATTACCCAACCCCGTTGCTAGCTTGCGCCAGCGATCTTCTGCTATTTCGATTATTCTCTAGGTTTTAAGAGTGGAATCTACGGTCTCATTATCAACGGCAGTACTCAATTGACCTCACCGCAGCCGAGAAAGGTTTCAACCGTACACTCTACCTACCCTTTCAACCCCCGAAGTCTGCAATTTCACCAAAACCCCCACCATACAATCCACCATGACCTCCCCGGTTCGCATCACAGTCCTCATATCCGGCAATGGTTCAAACCTGCAAGCCGTAATCGATAAAGTGGCCGCAGGCCAGTTAAACGCAACAATCGTCCGCGTAATCTCCAACCGCAAAACCGCATTTGGCCTCGAACGCGCAAGCAAGGCCAACATCCCAACCGAATACCACAACCTTGTCAAGTACAAGAAGCAGCACCCCGCGACGCCGGAAGGTGTTCAGCTTGCGCGCGAGGAATACGATGCTGAGCTCGCGAGGCTGATCCTTGCCGACGCGCCGGAGCTAGTCGTGTGTCTCGGCTTCATGCACATTCTCTCGCCACAGTTCTTGGAGCCTCTGGAGGCTGCTAAGACGAGGATTATTAACTTGCACCCCGCGATGCCGGGGGCATTCAATGGCGTTGTAAGTCATATAGTTTCTTTTTGGGATTGTACCTTGTTAGCTGGGATGATATGCTGATTTATGTCTTTTCCTGATCATTAGAATGCGATTGACCGTGCTCATGCTGCGTGGTTGGAAGGCAAGATTGACAAGACCGGCGTTATGATGCACGATGTCATTTCTGAGGTGGATATGGGCACACCAATTCTGGTGCGGGAGATCCCTTTCCGGAAGGGCCAGGACGAGAACCTCGAGACCTTTGAAACTCGGGTCCATGAAATCGAGTGGGAAGTCGTCGTTGAAGGAGTGGATAAAGTGGTGAAGGAATTGATGGCCCAGAAACAAAAAGGCTCAAGTGCATGAATACCCATTTGTCTTAGATGACATTACTCCGCATAGTTGACGAAGGACCGCCGCGCTTCTCGATCTGCGTTTCGTTTGGCCAATGATCGACCCAAGGCTACAAATCCCGAATGATGCCATCGTCGGAGCTGTTGACGATTTATGACTATATACTCCGTATAAAACAAAAAGACATATATGATCATATTCCGTGCTGGTGTATAAGTGCCAATTTCGAGATCAGAGCCGTGGCCGGCGTGGATTGAGACCAGACCAAACCTTTTGCCAGAGGCAAGCCAAGAATGTGCCTAAAGTGGCATGAAGCTATCCATGGATTGGGAAGGCGTGACTTCTCCACCCACGAGTATAAACCCTCCCTCAATTTTCTCTTCTTCAAAAAGCTCGCCCAGCAAGCAAAAAAGGCCAGAGAAATCCATCAAGTTTCGAAATTGGCCGCAACTACCGCAGAAGAAAACGGTAGTTGCGGCCCAGTAGAACTTGCGAGCAGACGATGCCCCCCAGGGATATTGGCCGTATGGAAGGGAACTGTATAGGTTGGAATATTCCCTTCCAGGTGGGCCATTACGAAGAGAAGACTCCGGTCCAAATTGCAGACATACTTTGTAACCATGTGGGCAATCATATCTGTCTCATGGTAATTAAAGTGGAAACGAGAAATGGAGGATCATAAACCAAATGGCCCTACTCCGTACAAGGAAAGCTCCTTGATAATCATTCAACAGGGATGTGAAATTGCAACCATTTCACCGGTCCAATTCTCATCACATGCTGCCTGTACGGCGGGTTTAGCTGCATTTTAGCCCTCCAATATGGAAAGTACTATATTTCGGAAGTTATGCCTAGCTGACCTACGGAGTAGTCCAGCCAAACCCAGGCCTATCAACCACAGTCTGACTGTGTCTCTCACCCGGGCAATCATTCGGGGTCACGCGACACACTCCGTACGTGTATGACCTCCCCTTGTCTACAATGTAGGACAGATCGTAAACCGCAGCCCACAACCCTCGAAATGCGAGGGAAAACCATAGCGAAAGAGGAAAGGTGTGGTCTATGCGCTGCAACCCAGACGGGAAAGTGGGCGATCAGAGCGTTGCAACGCTAAACTGGCCGTTGGACCTATGATCGTGGCGCCAACGTGGTACAACAGATCAAAGCCAATTCCTAACGTCCTTGGTTCTCTGATGGCTCCACCATTCCCCTTTTAGTCGGATGTTGGTCTTGATGGTGGATTATGTGGGTTGCTTTTGGCCCCCGAATTCACCAGCGTCAACTCAATTAGATGGTGTCCAGTCACTTGAGATCGGCGAATAGCATATCCATTTCGGACGCGGACTGCGATCGGCCCTGGTCAAGTTTGTCAAGTTTGAGGGCTGTCATAGTGGTGTATTGTTTGCTTGGTTCTTGCATTTGATAGACCATAATAACTAGGCCTTTATTTGCACAACGTATAGCGTATACGGAGTACTCCGTATAATGCAACACAGTTCCAAAACTATATGACGATCATTACTTGATACTATTTTACACTGAAACTCGGGGTGATAATCTCCGACTGCCGAGAATGGGCCTTTTGACCTCGGGATTTGTATACATCCTCACCTCAGCCACTTTATATCCACCTGCTAGTGTATAACCAGATCTAGGACTATAACAAACAAGGATAGTCGGCCGCTTATGTGGCCTTGTCAAGTATTTTTTAGTAGTCCTCTCAGGTAGTCTTTTTTGTTGTCTTTTTTTGTGATCTTCTCAGTTAGACTTTTTAGATGTCTGTTTCCATAGATATCCCCCCCCCCCCTTCTTTTCTCAGTTTGTTAGCTAGATGGCAGAAAAAGGGGGGGAAAGCATACTTTGTGCAAGAGACTTTTCTATGTATAACCTTTAACAAAAATCACAATGCTGTGTGAGTACTTTGTACTTTTTAACCCGCCATGGTAGCCAATAGAGGGCTTGGCTTGTAATTTCCGGGCCGACATCCATGGATATATAATTACTCTCTATTCAATTTCACCAAAATGACCAACAGGGCTGAACAATGCATAAAGCGTTGACGGGAGTATAAAACTCCAGTTTCATGTTCAGCGCACGCACCTTGCAAATCGCAACGCCATATGATCTCCAACGAGTCCACTACGGAATAAAGAACCACACTTTGCTGCCTGCTGATCTCACTAACAGTCAGTGCCCCCCCTGGAACTCCATTTCTCTCAAAATGATACCAAATTGGGCATAGTGGCAAATGTGTTAGTGGGGACATTAACTTCTGCCAGGGTCTATGGCAGATTTATAACAATCTCCCAGAGATGTTACCTAGATCAGCTTGATGCGTGATGTACAATAATTCGGATATATGGCAGGGAAGTTGTGAACCAAAAAAAGCCGAAAGGAATAAATCTCCATTGGAGCCTCAGAACCGTGAGGTGGTACTCACATGGGTCCGCCTGTCATGGAGCTGGTCCCCTAGCGTTGTCTTAGCCCGGGTTATATCTCACCCACATGGTAAAATGCTCGTGCACGGCCCAGATATTATTTATTATGGGATTAATGTGGTCAGAGCTTTGAAACCTTGACATATGGTTCGGGATTATCATCTGGGTATCATTTTCGGTCGTTTGATGAGGTTGCAATCTACATCGTGCATCTCCATATAATATTCTTAACCCCTTACCCCTATATTTCGATCTTTGACTAATCTTGCAAGTCAAATTAGGGGCCATGCAGCTTCCTGGACGGAGGTTCCAACTGAATAGAGATAATTGAGCCGGTATTGGAATCAATCGAAGGCTTTGAGGAGCGCTAGTGTCTTTTCTTTCGATCTATCAGGCCCACCTTCTCTGTCAACCCATCGTCGATCAGGTGAAGTGCCGGTTGAAAATTCCCGGACATATCTTAGGCCCTCGAATTGGGAAGCAACAGCTTAAGCTGCATTTTATGATGGCGGTACTTTGGCTAGAACCAGTTAAGAAAGAGAAAAGACAAAAAAAAAAAATGAAGAAGAAACCAAAATCCCCACATTTAGAGAGACTATTGTTTCTCCAGTCCTCGAATGAGAACCTCTCAGATTTCCACAATCTACTCCAGCCGCCTCCACTTGGAACCGATCCGCCAACAGAACGTTTTCGGCATTTCTTTTTATCTGCGTGCCCTCGAAGGTTTCAGAATTGCCGAGTCTAACTTATTTTATTGCGGGACTCCCCGTTCATTCATGTTCAAAGTGCTCCGTACTCCGTACAAATCAAGAATGACCGGTATTGCTGATCTTGCCGGTGCTTAACGGATCATCGGCGAGTCAATTCAGGACCCCTGTTGATTTTGCCTTGGATCCACTGGCAGTCGATATGTGGAAACAAAAGCAGAAAGGCAAAAAAAAAAAAAGGCAAGATAATAGACAAAAATCCCCGGGGTTCCGTCTCCCCCGCCTCGTATCTTCGATCAGAGCCCCCAAAAAAGCACAAAGAGAATTAAGGAGCTCCCAAGTATACCAGTATGACTAGCTCATATCCCCTGAGTACCATAAACCGAAAATGGCTCGCGGGAACCGGAACAGATCCATAGACGCTATGCTCATGAACCTCTGCATAGACCGGTCAAGCCCTAAGACCAGGATAGCTTGCTTGGATTTATCCTTGTGGCTTGGGATCGTCGTTATCACCCCCTTTTTTTTTTTTTTTTCCCTTCTTTTTCTCTGTTATTTTTCTGATACGTCGAGACCCGAAGGTCGTCCGTAGAGATCTATTTTTGTATTCTGGTTTTGACTAAAAGGATGTTTAAGATGGTCAAGATGTTCCTGATCTTCGTTGAACAGGGGGCTAAGGTAGCAATGATACCAAGTACGGAGTACGGAGTCGGAAGTAAATGTAACTTGGAACTTTTGCCTAGGTCCAAGAGGAACACTATAATAATTGGAATAATTGGGATAATTAAAAAAAAAAAACTAGCGGACTGTTCTGTATATCGCTTTGAAGGGCATTACTAGTACCTACTATATACCAAGGCCCATGTGTGGCTCCGCCAAAGAAATATGTTTTTATTTAGCCGGAGGAAAGCTCTCCTGGATCAGCCCATGGTATAGTTATCCACATCTTCCATATTCCATAGTTATTCTACTCTTTGTACTCTGTAGAAGTTCAGAATACACCGTTGTACTTCGCACATTTCGTATTTGATACAGGTCGCAGATCACGATTTAGCTCCTAGTCTGGAGGCTGGGCACTAAAATAGAATTGTTTATAGGAAATATTAAAAAGAAAGAAATAAGTTAATTCGTTTTAAATTGTTAAATCCGTTCGAAATGGTCATTTTTATAGACAAATCATTTTTTTTCCTTCCTTTTAATCTCCGCACGTCCCCGGTTCCATTGGTTTGGGTCACTTACATCCAACCCCCACCAACTTCACCTCTCGTCTTCTAGCTTTCTTTCATTGGTATCAAGATAATGATGACTCGATCTTGTTGACTCATTGGGGATCAGAGGAATCAAGGGGACCAAGGGAACTAAGGACAGTTTGGATGGGTTTTGCCATACCTCGACAATGACGCATTCACATCAGTCGCCCCAGACGGCCATGTCGGGCTTTCTGGACTCAATAAAACAGGATTCAAGCTCATCTTCGTATTCCTTGTTTGGACCTACACAGTATCCCGAGAGTGTTGCATTCTGGCACGATCCCTCCGCAGCACCAACGATGATAGTGCCCCCTTCATATACAACCTCCCAAAAACAAGCCCTCTTCCAACCTCTCTCGGACCAGAAGAAGCACAAGCGCACCCGGAGCGGCTGCTTTACCTGCCGTTCACGTCGGATCAAGTGCGACGAGAACCGTCCACTCTGTGAGCGGTGTAGGAAAGGGAGCCGCGATTGTGTCTATCCCTCACCCACCGCATCGTCCGCATCCTCGAAGGCTAGCTCACGCCCTACAGCCAAGTCGCGCGCTGCTCGCCCGCAGTCTCACGGCAGCGATTCATCCGCGAAGGTAGACCCCGAGACTCTCAGCCCCTTGCAGCCCATTATCGACGAAGAGGAACCCGACGGTTCTGTATCCGAATCCCGACCGTCGCCAGCAAGCGCCACAACCACATCGCAGCCGGACCTGCGTAAGAGCCAGAGCTCCCAATCTCTTCGGAAACACAGTTCAAGGCCCACATCCGACGCTAGTTATTACATCAAAGAACAGAGTAGTTCGCCATCAACCGAGTCGCCGCGCTTTGAGTCGATGAGCGTGCGCTCGGGCAGCCTTGGACATTCCACAACGGAATTGCTCAACAACGCGCGCCTACCGGACGATTTGCGATTTTATTTAAATTTCCACCGGGATTTTATGACTCCTCCACATTTCTTCTTGAGAGAGCGTTCCTCCCATTTTATCCACCACAGCCTTATCGAACTTGCCTTGCAATATGAGCCTCTCCTCTACGCCCTGGTGGGCCATTCGGCCTACCATCATTCTTTACACAGCCC